GTACACCCGTGGACGTCTGTCACCTTTGTCTGAAGGAGATCTAACTTTTCGGCAGTGAGGATCTGTAATTTTTATCAAAAAGAAAAAAAAAAAAAGAAGTTTGTAATCCATAACGCTCGAGCACAAAGAAAAAAAAAATTGGTGGGTTTTTTTCAAATTCAATTTTCAAAGCAAAATTACCACAATCCAAGTTTGGCTCAAAGAGCACCAAACGACTAGACTCTGAATTCCACCACGCTTCTGGAATCGATCGACGCGCAAATCACAAAGAAATGATAAGCGAAGCAACGAATAAGGATCTTCGGTCAAAATTACAAAGCTAGCTCTCTCTATTTAGGCATTATACACAGTTTGTCTTAGATATTGTATTTTAAAATTTCCATTACGTTAATTACTTGCTTACTGGCTAAAGAGCTATGTTGTAACACGCTAAATATCAACTGTGGACGGAGTATCATTCAGCCTGACTTGTATCTTGTAGATTGTTCTGGATAATATATCAGTCATAATCCATTAATATATTGTCGAAACTCATCCAATCCGCGACGCTGGATATCCACAAGGAATCCCAAAAGAATTAATATCACGCAGGGTTATTGCATGATGCCTTCCCACCTTCTTTGAAATACTATAATCTCCAGTCCACTATTGGATGCCGTCTTTTCTATTGTCGATCTTCTTCACAACTTGTGCCAGGCTAAGTGGGTATAGCTTCACATTTTGTACCATGGCAATTCATTTTCTCTCGTGTTTTGCTCTTCCTCTGGCTTAGTGGCTAATGAGATAGAGTACAACATATATTGTGTTCCAGATGTTGTAATTCTAGGCTCTTGCCACAGCTAGCCACCATTGTCCGCCCCCAAACTAAAAAAGCTCAACCCTGGTTGTGGAGAAGTGCCTATAAGCACTAGTGACACGTGGAATTTCGTCACGAACTGACAAGAGGCTGTGCTTATTTCTTACTTCATTCCTTCGTTTAGTCTGACATGCCATTAGCTTGATCCTGATTATAGTTCTAGAACCGGGTTGTTATGTCGGGGTTTGCTGAAAGCCTAACAGGATTTAGACAATGCAGAGATATATATATATCCATAAATGTAGTATATAGTTACACGGCATATGGTATAACGAACCCCACACAATTTACGGAGGACGTACTCCGTGCTATTTAGTTTCTGATCTGCAAACAACTCTTCACAGCACGATCTGTCGAGTGCAATCCTGGTCTGTGCAGTACGGTCGCATCATACATATAAATTATTGAACGGAGTACCAGTCTTCAGACCTTAAATTGGCCCACTAACCATCTCATCTCATATTTTGATAGGGTAGGGCGTAAATGCAAAGTTCAACCGGTTGTATGTGGAGAACAACGGCATTGTTAGTTCAATATACGAGGAAACCTCCACTATAACGTATTGGCAACAGGGCTATGTGAATATATTGGATCCTGCAGAATATGAAAATATGAAAATTTCCACTGTGGATCCTGATCAGCCCCGGGGGCCTGATCTAGCACGGAAACTGTAACACAACAGCCGATCGAAGGCTATGCCGTGAAACGAGAAGATGTCGCCATACCTACAAAGTACTATAGCCTATAATTTAGCGAGAAAGAGATTTCCACTGCAAGGCGTGGGGTGACTAGGACATTGCGTATGGGGAGATGTGACATAGAGGATCCTTCGAAAAGAAAGAAAAAAGAAAAAAAAAAAGTCAAAAAAAAAGTCCAAGAAACCAACAGTTAGAGACACCTCCCATTCGTCAGAATTGAATATGACTACCAAGAAAACAATATCATCACTTCGCGTCGACTTACGATTATGAGCGACCGTGGGGATCATATGTCAAATGCAGAAAGTCAAATGCGCCTTAACGTCCTGACATTGTACACGTCTTCGGCTATACCTAAAACAGTAAACAGTCGAATGCGCGTCCTCTATAACTATCGGTGAGTCCTAGGTCAATGCCCACACGTGCGTATCACTTCCCGAGCCACGCCAATCAGCCTCACGGTTTGACGAAAATGGCGAAGCACTAATGCTGCCACCATCACACCGAAGCCAGAGAGTCGGGTCATTAGCCCCGGGATCAGGCCTTCTGGCATAAGCTATTTTGCATGATGTTTCAGCTGATAAAAACCGGTTGGATACTGGATGTCTTAATGTGTGTCCCTTCGGGATTTGCTTGTTTGTGGATGGTGAGTGGTTCGAATGGAAGAAGGTGGGGGGGACTATGATTTTGGTGTGTAGTATTCGTCTTAGCTTGATGTTGAGGTGGTATTTGTGTGTGCTTTTGGCAGGATATAGCTCTGTATCTGGTTTAGGCACGGCTTTTCTTCGTGAATTTCTCCGAATTCTGGATTCCGGAGTATAGTATATTCCTGATGAAGTATAATCCCCATACTACAGAGTGTAGACATCGGAGGGATCCATTTTAACTCCATACACCCACTTTTTGTACTCAAATATTATTAGCTGTAAAGTACGGAGTATAATCGGGGACTATGTATCATAGTTATGGTAGATCTTCAGGTATTCTTCAGTAGATTTAGGGTCTTTGAAGAACTGCTTCAAAGCAACAGATACCACGTGTAATTCAGTGAATGTAATTGTCCCGATGTTCTCCGCGACCGCCAAATATGTCCAACTAACAGGATACACAAGATAGTTCCTGGGGCACATGAGCCTGACAGCAACTTGCACATCTTCACTCGGTTTGGCAACAGCCTTTCTTTGATAGTTAATATTCCCATTGGATCAAGGAGGCACATGCTTAAACAAAGTGGACTGGTGACGTCTGTCTCATTCTTTTGCGAGTCAGAATGTTGCACGGTTGTTTCGTGTCTGAAGGGTGCAGACGGAGTACAGGAAGTACATATCTCAGTGAATCAGCGAAGAGTGCAAAAAGGACTGGTAAAAGGTAAAAAAAAAAAAATATAATCCATTGTATTTTTTATGTAATTGGCTTACTGTAATAAATTACATTTAAACGGTTTTTTTTTTCCATTTTCTTACAGAGCCTCACATCTTCATAGACTTCCGAGGTCTCGCTTGTTCTATCCGCCCAACGTATGAAAATGAACCATGGAACCAAGCCGAGCTATAATATAGTTTCATTTCCATCCATGGATACAATTCGGGGTATATAACCACATGTGATAGCGTTTATCTGTTTATGGAAACCGGAGAACACGGAGATGCAAGGAAATTTTGATCTTCACTTCAATATTGTGAAATGTCAAAGGCAAAAAAGTGTGAAGATTACGAGATGCTTAGCATCGTGCACCGGATCTGCCCGTTTTCATGCCGAATCCTATTTTGATCTTCGACCTTATGTATGTTTTAGGCCGTGTCTCTCCTTCTGCAGTAGTGGGGTTGGTAGCCTAATATTTTGCGGTGTATGTACGATATCTAGCCTTGCGCTCAAATCTCAATACATTTATCTAGCGCCGTTGGAACGTGCATGTAGAATGCATTTATTGAAATTCTATCCCATATCAGCTAGAACCTGTTCGTACATGTTGGTTGGCTACTAATTTTGCCGCACCCGATAACTTATAGCGCTTCACTAGTTACCGCTATAGGATAGATCTCCTGCAGCATGCGCATTACTGTTTCGGGACATGCAGGTAGACTGATTCGTACAGCCTATAATATCTTGGCATTTGGACACCAAATATCGGTCTGTACTCCCTACACATAGGACTGTGTACAATATAGTTCACAAATCAATAAATCACTAGAAATTAAGCCACAGTCAATATATATTATCAATTCATCAGACTCTACAGCTGCCAAGTACTCTAGTTATCTACAAGATCGACATACCGGCATGTATATCTGAACACCTGACCTAAGATATCACGAACACAATGCAATATATATCTTATCAGCTTTTTCAAAACACAAGCCAACACCGCCTCCTCTACCCGCTCTTTCTCCAAAAATGACTTCATCCGCATATCTACCCCGCATTAAGTCGGCCCCCGGCCCATTCCCCAATCTCATCACATCTCACGATGACTGCATCGAATCAAAACCACGTGGCACAATAATTAACTCCTTCCTATCTCGACACTAGCCAAAAGCCGCACCCAACACAATCCAGCCCCTCTGGTTGGTTCGACCGGGGTAGGTCGGAGAATTGAACGTTGGCCCACACCCGTTTCGTGCTTTTTTAACTTTGATGGCCTGACCTCCCATGCACGGGTGCTGTTCCGACTATATTCGTTGTCACTTACTCGTGGATATATTTTTGGTGTTGGAGAGGGGTGACTGCGGATGACCTTCGGGGCTGAGTATTGAATTGAATGCAGATGATGCGGGGGCTATCTTGGATTCACATGCTTAGACGCTGTTGGATGTTGGGCTTAGATGCTACTGGTTTGATATTGTATGTATCCCTCCACGGATGCCTAGAAAGGTGGTATAGTATAGTAGTATAGGATGTGGTAGTTTTGTTTCAGGTTTTCAATTTCAATGCAGGATCGGCGGTGGGGGGCTTTCATCCTGGTTTTTTTGTCTCGGAGATGACTCTTTATTTCATCATCACCGATAAGACATGGATGTATCAAGTCTGGTAGATTAACAGGGTAGGACGCATCTCCCGAGCTGAACTCGTATAGACTATGGGTATACTGCATGTGCAGTGTAAGGATCGTATCCTGTTCAGCATCAATGCAACACTCCTTTGCCTGTTGCCTACTTGATATACCCAGTCAACAAGTGGGTAGGCCCAACCATTTTTTTTGTCACCAGCTGGGGCCTGCAGGGTATTCTTTTGTCCAATTGACCAGGTCTTGGCTTTGGGAGTCGCAGCAAGTAAGATAGTACCAAATGAAGCTTGAATTGATTTGTACATATGGAGTTTGAGGTATCTGCGGTAAATCAAGGCAAACGCCCGACCAACGGAGCGCTGCTAAAACAAGAACAAAGAGAGGCGGGCAAATAGCAGAAAGGCAGTGTCGCTTTGTTAGACATGATCAATCAAATCAGGGATCAGTAGTCTTCATCCGAGTCTACGTGCCCACGGTAGCGAGACATGTACCCAGTCCCGCCATCCTCGCTCGCAGAATCATCAAAATCAAACTCGTCGTCATCAGATGACACTTCTTCATCTGGGTAATCGTTGGCAGGGTGGTTTTCAGCTATGGTCGAAGAGGGTTAGCGAAAGTCTATGGGCTAAAAATGGAGGAAAAGAAGATGATGGAAGCGAAGGGTAAATAGAGGGCAAAAGAAGGGATAGAGTCACATACCATTGGAGTCAGCATCCTCACTATCCCATTCCTCCTCGTCATCTTCAATAAACTCCTCCCAGATTTCCTCGTCCTCGGCCGTGATGACAATGACACCCACTCCAGGCTGAGACTTGGCGATATCCTTTTCCTGCTGGTCGAACTCATATTCGGCGAGCGGGTTCTTCAGCATCTCGGCTTCCGATAGCGGACGCCGGACATAAACGTCGTAGACATAGTCGCCTTCATCATCCTCCTCCACGGCCTGTTCAGTTTGCAGCGAAGTTTGCAGCGGTGTAGGTGCGACCCTGGGTTCCTTGGGCTGTCTTGGCTGGTATTTCAACGGGGGCTTAGGAGCTGCACTGAAAGCAGGCTGTGAATATGCAGGCTGGGGAGCAGCCGGTTTGCTAGCGACCTGAGAATCGAGGTCCATCCGATGGTCTTGGTCGCGTTCGAGCTCGAGTTCCAGCGCAACCTGCTCTAAATCATGGGCTAGGCGTTCAGACCCCTCATCCCAGCTCCTCTGCTGCTGTGTCTGGGCGGATTTCTCCAAGGTATCAGATAGATGCTGCTTCGCAGCTGATATAACACCCTTACGCTCCTCGCGCCACCGCTTCTCGGCCTGGTTAACGACAGGTCGTTTGCGTGGTTTAACTGGCGAAGGGGGCGTGGTGTCCTGGAAAAGTTCCTTGGGCTTGATCGAGAGAGCTTTTGCCTCCGCTACCAGATCCGAGACCATGGATGCTTTGCGCGAGTGCGCATTCCGCTGCAACTGCTCGACCAGCACAGCCACACCAGGGGCAGGACCGCCAACGCGTCGTTTCTGAATTCCCCCAGGAGAACTTCTCAGGGAGTCGAGATTTGAGCGCGAGATCTGGAAGCGGCGCAGGGCTTGCGCGCTGCTGGAAGATGTCTCCACTGAAGCTGGGCTGCTGTCGCGCACTGACGGTGGGTGGGAGCCATCAAAGCTAGCCGCAGAGCTGGGCTGCAGGTCGGTGAAGGGATTAGGACCTCCGTAAACAGCACGTTTGTGCTTTTCTTCTGCTTCTTTACGTACAGCTGTAATGCGCTGCGCTTCGCGGAATTCTGCTCCCGGCGAGGTGGCCCGCACCATGGGCACACCCATCGAGGATCCTGGCGCGCGCCGGTTTACATGAAGGCTGCTTACTGAGCGCGGACTGCGCAGAATCCGCTGCACAGCTGGCGTTGCTGGTGGGCTTGGAGATGCATCTGCACTCGCTCTCTCGCTAGCTTTTAGAGTGACTCTGTGGAAGACAAAGTCGGTGAAGCGCCGCTTGGTTTGGTGGAGTGCAGATTGAATGACTGAGGGGTAGGTTAGTGTCTGTCGTCAATGTCGGTCGAATTTTCATCTCTAGGCGCAAGCACTTTCATGGTATCATGAATCTTTTGAGATGGGTCTACATTGCGGGGGAGAAAAAACAGGGGGATTCATACATAGGGTCTCGACGGGCTCTTCCTCACGCCGACGCTTAATGTTAATTTGCTCTGGTGGAAGCGCCATGATGCAAAGTTGGCGCAGATTTTGCGATGGCTTGCTTGGGTTTGTGGAGGAGGGATGAATGGATGAGGCGGTTTGAAGCATCCAATTTGATGTGTCCGATCCTTTCCCGATTTGGCCTTACCAGTCACGTGATCTGAATATTGTATATGACAGATGGATGAGAGCAAAGTGAGGAAAGGTGAATCAAAACTGAGGAATTTTACATGTGGTTTGAATTAAACAGGACACTACTACCTACGTATGTACCAGCAAAAGGCTAATATTCACTCGATCATGCCGATCGAAGCCTGCTCAACAGTTTCAGCCTTGATATCAGATATAACTTCTGACTTGGTACAACATTGTTTTCATATATAAAATCTGCCTGATTTCTATTATAGATAGATGATCATTTACATTTCTAGCTAGTGTTTCAAGTTTGATATGGCTAATTTTCTGCTAGCAGTAAAAGCCAATAGGACCAAAGTCCCAAGTGGTCGCTATGCAATGCGATAATCACCGCCACGACTCGCCCCTCTCCATGGTCATCATCCAGTGAAACATGCGGCGTACTCACAGCCCCAGAGCAAAATAAAGAGATAGAAAAGTGAAAAGTCAAAGATAAAAAGACGGAGGAGACTCAAAGCCAGCTAGCAATACAAGGTAGTAAAAGAAGGGAAGATGGCATGAAAAGGATTAATAGGGGAATAGATCATTGCGAACGGAATATGTCCGGACGAAGAAAGGGGGAAAATCCAAAAAAAAAGCAAAAGAAAAAGAAAAGAAAAGGGTTGAAAGTGAATGGCAAAGAGTCAGAAGTGAAGAGATTATGACGAATACAAGAAACGAATCAGAACAAAATGGGGGGAGGAAAGACATGACAATCGAAAAGGGACTATATGTAATAACAGAGAATAATGTGGCATTAGGTTCACCGAGGACAATGAGTCCAAGGTTGCATCCTTCGGAGTATGCGAATATAATTATTTGGCCCCAATCTCCTCTTCAGCCCAGCCGGGCAGCGAGTTTTCATTTTGAATAGCCAGGCCAAATCCTGAGTGATTCAGTCCACCGAGAGCAGAGAAGCTAGAGAAGCTGCTTTGAGGCTGGTGTGCACCTACGCGGCTGTGGCTGGATTGACCAGAGACCGGTCCGAAGGGCTCCTGGGAAAATGAGGGCAGGCTGACAGCCCGTGAGTGCGAAGCACGGGGCACACTGAGGCTGCTGGTGCTTGCGTGGTGACCGTGTCCCGATCCATTTGTCACACTCAGATAGCTGTTGGAAGACTTGTGCTGGTGCATAGGCGGGTCCATGTTTCCATTTGACAAATCACCGCTGCTGACGCCGTTGTACAGCGAGTGCTGTGGCTGGGACTGTGTCTGTAGGCTGGATAGGGCCATAGGGTCGTGAAGATGGTTCTCCTGATCCTGTGCCTGATGAGCGGACATCTGGTTCAGGTACATGGTCAGCGGGTTGCTCGAGCCGACATTCAGAACCCCAGATGAGGACACGTTCCGCAGCGGGTGGCGTTGTTGTCCATTTTGAGAGGATCCCGAGGCTGGGGAAAGGGCTGGGCGAGTCGGGCTGGACTGGGAGCCAGACTGGCTGAGGTTCTGCTGGAATCCGTTGAGAGCGGACGGCGGTGACTGGCCTTCTATGCCGGCTCCGTTGCGGTTCTGTTGTCCATTCTGGTTGTTTCCGGCTTGGCGTGGTGGGTTTCCGCAGCGGTCTTTTCCAAAGTTGATCTTGAATCGCCGGTAGTCTTCCCGATTGCGCATCCCCTCAATAGCCTTGATGGCATTGGCGATGTTTGTGAAGTTGACAAACGCGCAGCTCTTCTCGCGCAGGGTGTTCACCAACTCGATCTCACCGTACTCCGAGAAGTCCTGGCGAAGGCGTTCCTCCGTCCAGGCCTCGTCCAAGTTACCAACATATACATTGCGTGATGCACCGCCGCTGACGGCTAACGCAATAGCGGGCGGAAGAGGACCGGAGTGTTTGCCCCATCCAATCTTCAGGCGTCGGTTATGGATCATCAGCCCCTGCAGATTGCTCAGGGCGTAGAAGGAGGCAGCCGAGGTGGGGTCGATGAATGTAACGAAGCAAATGTGCTTATCTGGGATATATCGAACATGATGCAGCAAGCCTCCGCGGACGACATTGCAGATCTCTTCAATAGTAGTTTCGGGGTGGATGTTTCCAAGGTAAATGGTGCGGTTGCCGAGATTGTTGACACCGCCCGCGGTTGTTGCCACGGCGGCCGCGGCAACGGACTGCTGCGCAAGCGCATTAGAAATTAGATCACGATCCGCGGTGTTCAGCACGTGAGCATATCCCGGTGCGATTCCAAGGAATTGCGCAGCATTTTGCTGTTGAGTCTTGGACACATAAGCACAACGGTCCTTGCCGTAGAACACCCGCTTTGGCGCTTGCCATTGCTGCTCCTGGGGGAGCTGGGTGACAGCCTTCATGGCATTACTGATCGACAAGAAATGGACGAATCCAATTGCCTTCTCCTTGACAATCTTAACGGTGTCAATGGGCCCAAATTTGCCCAGATCCTCCCGCAGGTCATCCTCAGATGTTTCCTCGGGCAAGTTTCCAAGATAAACGTTACGCGACGCGCCCGACTGTTGAACAGCTAGGGCGACTGAGGTGGGGACCTGTGAAGGCTTACCCCAGCCAACTTTGATGTCATTTCCCTTGATAGCCAACTTCTTCAAAATGGCGTCTGAATGGAAATGAGTGGCAGAGCTGCTGTCCAAAAAGGAGATGAAGGCGCAGTTCTTATCAGGGAGCAGGCGCACCGACTCGATTTGACCGCTACGCACGTGATTTAAAATTTCCTCGGCGGATGTTTCAGCCGGGATGTTTCCAAGATACACAGTGCGACTAGTACCTGACAGCATACCCGGGGCCACGGAAGCTTGGGGGCTACCTAGAGCCGTATTTCCCATACCTCCGAGACCATTGATCGGCGATTGAGGACCCATCATTTGGGAGTTCATACCGTCAGGTGACATCATTCCATACAAACCGTGGTTTTGCATTCCTTGCGTTGGGCTGTGAATATGGTTCTGGTTGTTTTGGTGACCGTTGCCATTGGCCTGTGAGAAGCCACCAAAATTGGCAAACTGAGGCGAAGCAAAAGCCGAGGGAGTTCCTGGTTGGAAAGGACTGCCTACTAGCAGCTGGGAGGGAAGAAGAGGAGTGTAGTTCATATCGAAGCCGGAAGCCATATCGGAGTGTTGGCCTGCGGCGGTGTTTATAGCGGGTATATTGGCGCGACGAGAGTTCCGGTCCGAGAATCCTTGAATAGGGTTGGGATGGTTATTGTTGTAAGCTCCGTGGGAAAAGCCAGTATCCCCGTTCAGCGCGTATTTAGACCCGTGAATTAGACGCGAATTATTCGGGATGTTCGATACATCCGAGGCTTGCATGGCGAGATAGATCCAAAACTTGTCCTAAGACAAGAACCTAGTCTTAGTCGGGGATGAGATGCCCTGACTACCAGACTGAGAGGCTCTGGGAAGAGAAAGGGGGAAAAAATAAAGGGAGGATTATCAGATCACCATTCAGGAGATGACTCCACACCTAAGATCACAGGGAAAAATAAGGAGGGAATCGGGAGAAGAAAGAGTGTATCTCCAAAAAAAAAAAGCTCAAATGGAGACGTGTCTAAATGGAAGTTCACAAGTCAATTGGAATGTTTTCATTTTGGGGAATGAGGAGAACAAACCCGTCCTTTTCTCTTTCAGAGAATGCCACTTATATATATATCACAATCTCCATGCAGAACAAGTATCAAATTTCCTGAGAGAAGAGAAAGAGAAACCAAAGTGAACTACACAGGCATTAGCTTAAAGAGGTTAGGAAAATTCAAGGGAAGACCTGAAGAAAAAAAAAAGGGGGTAAGACTGGGGGAAATGGGGGGGGGAAGTGTTTACAGTTGACAGGCTTGGACTAGCTTTTTTTTAAAAAAGAAAAAAAAAACAATAGAAATTAATCCTTTAAATAAAGAGAACAGAAACAAAAAGGGTTAAAAAAGAGCGTGGAGAAAAGGAATGAAAAGGTAAGGAAGTGAATCCAGGTAAGGTATGGAGAAGGGAAAAAAAAAAGCATTAAAAGGGGGAATAGGGAGTGGGTTAAGGGGCCGAACTAACTCTTCATATAATCAGTTCTATATTGAAATATTGAATACATATAGCTTTTATATCTAATATAAAAAGTAAAAGAAACCAAAGAATTTAAAATTCTTTGGTTCAAACTTCGAGTTCCCGTGGCTCCTGCAGAATTGGATCAGGACCTAATCTCCCCTGTTCATGGCATTAATATAAACTGTATGGAGTACGGCCACCTACATCTTTTGAAATCTTTAATCTCCGTTAGGTCCCGTGACCTATATCTACAATCCATTCATGTATGGATATCCCATGATAGCTATACAACATATAATTATGGAGATGAGAGAAAGCTCTCTAAGGTGCTTAGGAGTTTAAAATGCAGTGTTGCTCGAATGTATATCCCTTTACTATAACCGCAGATATACAGTACATCTTATGGTCAATAGAATGATAGATTTAAATCAGATATAGAATCCATGTTTAAAATCTAATGAAATACTGAAATCATAAAGACAGTTTGGGTAACTGCAAAAAGGCCCTTAGAATATACCCCGAAAGATATCCGAAATTTAATGCCTCAGGCACCCGTGGGGAATCCCGCATCTATCGGAAATTTACCCCTCTACCTCAATGTGCGATTCCTCCCTTGGACAACTTGCAATTGGGAAGAGATAAGAGTTCTATTCTCTGCATATCAGGTGAGTCCGCTCCTCACATTCCAATCTGTCCTGGCTGTATTCCTTCAGCCTTACGGTGTATGACTCACAGATCAGACCCTATATTAATTATCTCTCCCACAGAACTCTCCCGCCACAACCCAATCAATTAAAGCCTTGGGTTGCAAGGACTAAATTACAAGTCATGTCTACCAACATCTACATCGACGAAGACGTCGGGAGAGACGAGCCCTCCGCCACCGGCACCGAGACCGCCCCCTACAAGACCCTCGTTCACGCCTACGTTCAACATCCCCCCACCACTGAAGGCATTCAGTACCTCACACGCAAGTCCCAAACCGACGCTGCTGGTGAGGATGTTGACCCTGCAGCCAAATTGGAGTGGAAGCCCGCCACAAAGTCGGCAATGAAGAAGGCCAACAACCTCTGGGAGCAGCGCAAGAAGAAGGCCGCCAAGGAACACGATTTAGCCATCCGCGAGAAGGCCGAGGCTGAAAAGCGCCAGAAGGTCCTTGAGGACGCCAAGAAGGTTGTGATCAAGGAGGATACCTCGCTACCCAAGCCCGTGCGCGTTCGTCTGGATGTCACCGACCCGGCCATCGTCAAGCTGCGCACCCCCGAGTCCGATGAGGCTGGCACCCGAGTCCGCGTTCTGGGCCGTGTTCACCGCGCCCGCGCCCAGAAGGATGTTGTTTTCATCACTCTCACCGACGGCTACGGATACCTGCAGTGTGTCCTGACCGGTGATATGGTCAAGACCTACGATATCATGACCCTCACCCTCGAAACCTCTATGTCCATCCACGGTGAAATGCGCGCTGTGCCCCCCAAGCAGCACGCTCCCAATGACCGCGAGCTACACGCCGACTACTTCGAGATCATCGGCAAGGCCGCTGGTGACAAGGAGGCTATTACCACGCGTGTGGCGCCGGACGCCGACCCGCAGACTCTCTACGACAACCGTCACTTGGTTCTGCGTGGTGAGACCTCTTCTTCCGTCATGAAGGTTCGCGCCGCTACTCTGCGCGCTTTCCGCAAGGCTTTCGAGGAAACCCGCATGCTGGAGGTGACCCCTCCCGCCATGGTGCAAACCCAGGTCGAGGGCGGCAGCACCTTGTTCGGATTCGACTACTACGGCGAGAACGCCTACCTGACCCAGTCCTCGCAGCTGTACCTCGAGACCTGTCTCCCTTCCCTGGGTGATGTGTACTGTGTGTGCCCCTCTTTCCGTGCCGAGAAGTCATTGACCCGTCGTCATCTTTCTGAGTACACACACATCGAAGCCGAGTTGGACTTCATCACCTTCACTGATCTGCTTGATCACCTCGAGGATGTGATTTGCCGCGTGATTGACTACACTCTGGCTGAGCCCGAGATTGCCGGATTTATCAAGCAGCTCAACCCCGACTTCAAGCCCCCTTCCCGTCCCTTCCTCCGCATGAAGTACGACGATGCTATCCAGTGGCTGATTGAGCACGAAATCCCCAACGAGGAGGGTCAGCCCCACCAGTTCGGTGATGATATTGCCGAGGCTGCTGAGCGTCGCATGACCGATATCATCAACCAGCCCATCTTCCTGACTCACTTCCCCGCCAATATCAAGGCCTTCTACATGAAGAAGGATCCCCAGGACCGCCGTGTCACTGAGAGTGTTGATGTGCTCATGCCCGGTGTTGGCGAAATTGTCGGTGGCTCCATGAGAATGGACGACTGGGATGAGCTGATGGCCGCCTACAAGCACGAGGGCATGGACCCCAAGCCCTACTACTGGTACACTGACCAGCGCAAGTAAGTTTTGATATCCGCATTTGTTCCTACTTTCTCTTTTATTCGTCCATACTAACATTTGGACAATAGGTATGGTACCTCCCCCCACGGTGGCTACGGTCTTGGTCTCGAGCGTTTCTTGGCCTGGCTGTGCGCTCGTTATACCGTCCGTGACTGCTCATTGTACCCCCGGTACACCGGCCGTTGCACTCCTTAGATATGTCAAAAACAAAAACAAAAAGTATAAGCATGATCACGACAGGTACGGGAATGTGGCATTGGTGTTACAATGGATGAAGAATGAAATTTCCTTCAGATCAATTAAAAACGATTCTATTTCCATCTTACGTACCCGAGGACTCTGTACAGAGTATCTTCATAATGTAAATCTGGCTTGCCTGCCTGACGGATATCCACCTAGCCTTGCCATACCCTGTAAGATTCTTTGCACTGATACCCACCATTATACACACTATAGCCCCCAAACATGCAGTCTTAGCCACTCACCTGCACATAGCCAAGAGGAGTCTTCGTCATGGAGAATCTCCCAAAATATATTTTCCAACCCCTAGAATGCCAAATCCCACATGTGCAAATCCCAAATCCCTCGGAAACCAACAAACCGTTGCCGCTGCTACTGCCGTTGCCGTTGAAACCCAGCCCAACACCCTGGTGTCTGGGATTACAAAACCAACCAAAACGGAAGCATGCAGGTGCACGCACCCTAAAAAACCCGAGTCACGTCTGCATACAAGTTTGGCTAGATTCATAACACGGCTGTTCACGCGCAGCGTGACACGATCTATCATGCCTTCCGCGTCGACGTCGGCCCCTGACCAATGAAGGGTATATTGGGGGTTTGCTTTGGCTTTGGTGTTGGCTCTGCTTGGTTTGAGGTTGGATCTGGCGTTGGCTCTGGCTCTAGCGTCGGTCTGGCGTAGGCGTTCGCTCTGGCGTTGGATGATTTGTTGGTTCTGTTATTGGCTCTGGCACTGGCACTGGCACTGGCACTGGCACTGGTGCTGGCACTGGTGTTAGTTCTGCCCTGGTGTTGGGTTCTGCTCTAGTGTTCGCTCTGGCGTTGGCTTCGTCGTTAGATCTAGTGGTTTTGCATTAAGCACTGGGGATGATGCTGGATTTGGATTTCGATTTGGCCATGACTTCCAGCCATAACCAAGGCCATCGATGGGACCCGGTCGTCTGGTGACGCTAGCGTGCTGCGAACCCAGGTTGCGATCAGTGGGGAATAGGATGGATGTGAATCGAGGAGGATATCGGTTTGGATATAGAAAAACATCGGAATCGAGATGGAGGGACAAAGTCCGGCCATGGTCACCGGGGGATCGAACCGGTGCGGTACTGTAGTTAACTCGGGGGGAACCCTGTCCCTGGACCATCTCCTCTCCCCCTCCTCCTCCTCCTCCTTCTTCTTATCCTCATCATCCACACAGCCGACAATGGGGATGGGTTAGTAGGGGCTTTTCTTTCGAAAGAAAACGAAGAGACTTAAGACGCTTCTCTCTAGGAGACGGAAGGGGAGAGAGGAAGAGTCTACAGAGGCGGACCGTGCAAGATGATTCTCAAGTCGATCTCTGAGATAGGTCAGTACAGCCTCTTTTTCATAACAGAACAAAGTCTTCAAGTGTCTTTAGCATTGAAAAGAGAAGAGGTGTGTCTCCGTCTACAGGAAAAGAGGCGCACAGCGCAAGGGTGATCCACCTCACCGTGAGCTTCCATTGCACGAAATCACACGGAGATAGAATCCGTAAGCCCACAGGGATCCCATTCCGCTCGACCCCTTCGAGAAACGCTCAGGCAGCCCTAGGAACCAACAGTGGAGATTCTGTTTTCAATGTCCAAGTGAGTGTGATTAGAACTATGTCGGTATTTTGGACGGGGCACATAGTATAGGCGTGTGTAACATCAACGGCGTACTTGTCCCTCACTTTTCTCTTTCTGACGTTCTGACAACCGCAACTCGCCCCAATGACAGACAGATGCAGCTCAAACTCGGTACCGTTCCCTAGGGACCCGCGTTGTTTAAACCGTCGATCTTTATGTTCGTATTCTTTTCCCACTCCCTTCTTCGGTTCATTCGCCTCATCGCCGGGATGACTTTTCCGTGCACCGGCTGCGCTTGCATGGGGTTCCACATACTATGGGTTAGTGCTGCTGTCACTAAAAAGTAACGGGCGTATTTCAACCCTCATACCGGGGTTTGGTATGTATTTTCGACTCGACATTCTAGGCGTCTGAAGCCTATAAATGTTCTCATATCAACGAGACCACAGCTGCTGGCTGAACAACACCTCCTGCTATTGCCACCGGGTAAAAGTACTTGTCTTTTCCCTTTTCTGGCTCTTTGAGTCGGACACATGTCGTCATTTTTCCTTTTCCTTTTCAACCACCCTATTCATGCATAACCCGGGCAATACTAGCGCGATATGATATGACAAAACACAACACACCATATATTCACATCCCATAGGGTAAAATACCTCAGGGAAAAGAACATGGGTGTGTAAAAGTAGCGTCATGAGCTATATCATCTACCACTTGCAACATTTAATTTGTCTTATGCCTTTTTCAAGACCTGGGCAAAGATAAAAGGAGGACACTCTCATGATTGTTCTCCTAGAAAACATCAACATGCATAAATCGTTCATTATGCCAACAACACGCCCAACACGACCTAGGATTCTCTAGGCCACGCCCTAAGAAACAAAAAGGCAAACAATCACCGAAAGTCGAAAGTTGAAAGACAACCATAGCGTTGGTTCTCATTGAAAAACCGAAAGCTGAAGAGTGTGACGTTCAGCTCGCCTCCCGGACGCGTTGAAGGGCGATGTGGATCTCCTCGTTTGACGCCCCGGAGCGAATGAGGGAGACGATCTGAGCGACAGACTCGCTATGAGCGTCACGCATGACGCCGACTAAATCTTCCAGGAACTTTCGGTAGTAGTTCAGGTCGACTTCCTGCTGGCGGATCTGTTGACGGCGCTCAGGTGAGTCGTTGGTGTCTTCGCTGTGGGGAGGTCACGGGGGTCTCAGCTTTGGATAATTTAAGCGCTGCTGGAAGGGATTTTGTTTACGGGAAGATGGGGTTGAAAGAGGGAGACAGGTGAGAGAGGTAAAAGAGAATGGAAGATGTCTGTTGCAAAGTCGGGCGGGAAGATGACTACTCACCTTGCATTCTCCCTGGTTACCGACCCAGTTTGGCGGGCTCCGTTGCGGTCTCCTGGAGCTCCTTGGTCATTCATGGAGTTGGCTGCGGTGCGGTCTGACATCTTGAGTTGGACCGGGTCAGGTGCTGTCAAGGGGATCCTATGTGGGAAAAGGCTTGGGTATGGTTTTGGCTATCGTGCCCGAAGCCGATCTTATGAGGGTTTTTTTTTTTTGGTATGATGCTGTGTCTACCTATAAAATATCACAACCTCGTAGCGGTTAGCAATCTACTAGGGAAGAAATCGATTTCTAAGGGAAAAACGGGGGCGAAGGGTTCAAGAAGGCGAAGTATGAAATATTGATCAGGTATGAGGGGTTGGGGAGGGAGCGGTCGGCCATACGTGGTTTATAGGCAAGTGTCACCCGACTTTCAAGTAGATAGCCTTATACATAGAATTTGTAGAAAGTTGAAAAGATAAGACTTGAAGACTTGAAGAGGAAACACGAGAGGTTAAAGAGAGAAAGGTGGGACCTTTAAAAAGAAGGTATTTTGGGGGGATACGCTGGGCAGATTGCCGCCAGTTCTATTTCGTCCGCCAAACTAGAACGAAGAGATATCAAGGGATATTTCCTTGGGGCTCTCAAGCCTGTGTCATTGTTAACACATTCACCTCTCAATTCCAGTAAGAAAAAAAAATGAAATCGAACGAAAAGAATTGCATTGTAGTTGTTCATGACACTGGAGACCTCAAATCGGCCCCGGATAAAATTGCCAGCCAATCGTCAATCGTGTTTTGCTCCACGCCGAACGTTCAAGTATCATGTTTGAACCGAGGGCTCATGCTTTTCTATTATTTTGTTTGCACTTGGGGACGTGGGGGGGTGTTGGTGTGTGGTGTTTGTTGGTGTTGTTGTTTTGGGGTGTGTGTGGTGGTTGGGGGTGATTCTGATCCTGGCCTGTGGTTTGCTGGGTAATTGTTGCGAATTCGGCACTGTATTCGCATTTTTATTCACATCTGTATTCGAATTTGTTGAGATCTCTTTATGTTGTAGATCAGATAGATTGTTCCACAGAGACAAAAACATTCCTAAATCTGTGGCGACTTTGGACTTTCAGAGGTAGATTTGGAGCCAGTGGCAATGATTTGCATATTTCTGTCCAAATAGATCTCAGGAGACAGGAGCAGCCAATTGGGACGGCTAGCACTTTATCGGCGGGTAGACTCGAACTAACTGCAAGTAAAGTGTGTAAGTTTAGTAAAGATGGAATTCGATCTTATCACTGTGATTCGTTCAAATGTGTGGACCTTTTGCCTCGAAGCTGAAGCAGTGAATAATGGTGGACGATCTGTTGAAACGTTGATGTTTCGTCCAGTCACAATCCGAACGGTTTCCTCTGGACACCCCTGGAAACGGGTTGTGTTTTCCTTCAAGCAAACACATTAAAGAGGTAAAGTTCCCTGTGTCTTCCAATGTTGTCTTGATAGGATTTCGGCTTTTTGTCCACGGGAAGCCGAGAAACTGCGTGCTGACTCGCTCTTTCCGTTTTAAGCCAGGACCCTTCAACGCCTTTTCTCCAACGTCGAGGTTGAATTCGAGCTTCCTATTCCTTCTCCTAGTCTGTTGACAATCGAATCCTTCACATCCACACTCTATAAATTGCCGTGATACTCGACAGCAGCTATAAGAGCACGGTTGGCTCTTCCCGCCAACACCGCTTGCAATGATCCCGAAGATTTTGTTCCCCGTACGACGACTCCCGACGTTTAGCAACACGACTATTACACGCCTGGAATGTCTTCTGAGACTGTTCAGTTATTGGATGCTTTGCTTCGAAAACCAAAACAAGGGTTATGATAACCTGACTTTCCGGTTATGGGGGCCATGGGCGCGGCTGGATGGGAGGGTCGGTTCATCAACACTCCATGATATTACTCTACATGGCAGTGTCTGTGTATCGGACAGAATCCACGGGACTTGATACGGAATCAGCATTTGGAGTTGAGTCTGGAGTTGGTTTGCCCGTGGTAGACCACCCGACCCAACTCCTGGCTTGATCGCCTCCTATACCTCTGTGACAGTCCGTTGTGACATTTGTCTTTTATACCAACACTTTTGGCCATATGGAACAGGTCATTAGTACGGCAGTATAGCTCCGTCTCGAGTATGATGGACCATCTCAGCTGTTTCCGTCGTCGCCTCCATCAGATCTAGGATCAGATCTAGGGTATTTGTGGGGCATCCCTGGGGCATGTGGACTTGATGGACTTGTTTCTTGGAACGGAAATAGGGATGGGTACGAGGACGAGGATGAAAGTAAGTGACAGGTAGTGCAGTACGGGCCATGGGCACCGCCACCAACCTGTTCTTCGTGAACGTCGTCATGGGTCGTTTTGTGCATCAGTTATGCAGTATATGTCTTCCCATGCCTGTTCAGGTCAACGGCGTGATACCTGTTGACCTTACAATATATGGAAAAGTCTGTGCATGAAGACCGTCTTCGGGTCGGATGCCAATTTGGGCAGAGGGTCTTATGGTCAGAGAGTACAGAACGCCGTGATCATCTAAGGCAAACGCGAAAAGGAAAGCATCGATCGGTGATTCGAAGTCGTTTCATTCGGATATTGTCGAAGACTGCCTTGGTGTTGTCAGGCTTTCGATGGGGGTTGTGATGGGTATCGAAGTTGGCTTTTCGCATGGCGGAAACGAGTCATCCTGTTTCTAAGCACCCTGGAAACAGGCAGTGTTGTCATCATCCGCTGCAGCTTGTGGGTGGCATCTGATCTGTCTGCGTCAGTCATTACACAGCACGGTCGGTAAGCTGGCCCCCGTCGCCATTCGGTCAGCTCGATGCATGACCAAGGCAGTTTCTTCCTGTGGTCATTCCTGTCTAAATAAGACTTTCTGATGGTAACAGCGATGTATTATGACAGGGTGGAGATGAGATATGAGAGAGAAGCAGGTGCGAGGTCTACTCACTTTGAAGCCCAGATCGATCAGGCTCGACCACTTCGATCCAAGGAAGAACCCCTGCCACCAAGAGACGCTAGGCACTTTCTGGGACAACCTCATCTCGAGAGCACACCTCGTGACTGTCCGGTTGCCACTTCTTCCAGGACAGCGGCCATCAAAAGGAAGGTCAAAAGTCTGCAGTTTCCTCGCCCAAAGAGAAGTAGGACAGAGGGAAAGCCCTATTATTCACCCCGTGCCGCCAATTAGATCCGCCCGCCGTGAGGAAAATAGTTCCTGCCTAGGTTATTGGGGGGCTCCACTGGCGCCAACATTGAAATACGCAATGAGCATCAGCCTTGGGTTCTACAGTGTACACTGAATGCGCCTTGGGATCCGGACCATGCTCCGTCAATAACCGAAGATGTAAGCATTTGATGAATCAAGTTGTGGATGCGAAGCCTCGAGCGAAAGCCTCTGATCAAGCCGAACCGGATCTTCTTCAGGGTCCAGATTTCACTACTGACCATTAACGATGTAACTGAAGGAACACTAACAACAGAATATAAAGCAATACTCTTCATAACGCTCTTGATATTGCTCTTGGTATCGGTACGCATTGCCACCCTGTCCAGACCTGAAAATAATCGTATGGGGTTCAATATTTGATAGGGAGTCATCCGCCGGCTCCAAATGTTCCCAGTCCAACCACCCTGGACCCAGTTTGCAGCTTGCTAACCAGACTTGGTCCACGTTGCCACGGTGTTTTCTCGATTTGCTACTCGGATCATCCACGGCTCGATCAGGGGATGTGCAGGGCAGACAAGGAGACTACAAGAGGGTACATGTTCCAAGCGTGAGCCTGAGTCACAGGGAGAGAACGAGTCAGTGGCTCATAATAGCCATGAGCTAGTTTCCGGCCTCAGCCTCTCAGACCTCAGCAGTCAGGCATCAAACCTTGGAACCTTCCTTGGAAGGTTCGAAACTTGGAAAGCTTATGTAAAACCCTTACGTGAACATGACATTAGGCCTGCGGGAAGATGACCCTGAGATTCGACATCGATTTTACCTTCCAAGCTTTGTTGTACCATGGACTTTGATAACTTTAATACCTTTTTTTATATCGTGCTTGGCACAGTAAAAAGGTCTACATTTCCAGTGTGATATTCCCAATGTACCTGTATGGTTATATCAATATTCACACGCGTGACGTAAGCCTAGACTAATTAACTAACTAACTAACTAGTTAACTAAGGCAGATCGGAACCCTAGCTATCCCTTTCAAACCACTTCCGCAAATGTTGGTATGCAGTGACCAAGCTCACACATCTTCGGTTGAAATCAGACGCAAAAACAGCACTTAATTACCAGATAGAAAGGACCAATGGATTAATTGCCAGTATCTCACCTTAACTAATTGAGGAAGCGTGTCATATAAAAGCTATGTCGTGCATACCAAATGCCACATTCCACAGCCACCTAAAATGCTACCAACCTAACATCTAAACACAACCCCTCCATTCCTAACGAACGCGTGGAGTACTAATAACCAGCCCTGATCCCACACGTTAGTCCTATCTTCACATCCGACAAAAATTGCAACCGTCGGCAACCAACGACAACCCAACCCAGCAGCAATTTATACATATCACATAGAAAAAAAGAACAGCAGCAAAACCAACAGCAAAAGCTAAAAAGCCAATTCAAACATGCATTTCCCAACCATTCTCTTTCTAAGCGCCACCCTCGCTTCAGCCCAACTCAACCCCCAGCAATTCGGCCCCGGCCCAGCAGAATTGGAATACATCCCAGGCAACAACGGAGGCTCAAACAACAACCAGAATCAAAAACAAGGCCAGAAATACAACAGCAACGGAATCGGCAAGATCGGCGGCAAGTATGAAGAGGGCTACGCCGACTATCAAGACAATGTCCCAAGCCGTCCCACTACATTCATAGTGCAACCTTCTCAAGCACCTGTGAATTTCCATGCCCCGGTCTACCAGGATGCAACTCCTTATAACCGAAACCCAGCGCATCCCCAAGCTTTTACTGCTCAGAAAGCATCCAGCCAAGATTCCCCCTACGGTCCGGGAAAGCCAGAGGTTCCGCCTTCGCCCTTCATGAAGCATTCTTTCGGCAAAGATGAGGGTAATGCCTTCTGTATGGGGCAGTGCTTTGCTAATAAGCACGAGGCGAAGTGTGCAAAGCCTTATGTGAGTTTTTCCGCGTATAAGATATAGATATAGTGGTTCTAGGTTATAAGTGGATATAGGGTTTGCTAATACGTTTTACTCTTAGTCTGAGGCTGTGTATAAGAGGGCCAAGGGGTGTTATATGTGCTGTTTTACTTCTTCTGATTTCTAGGGTTGAGGTGTAGTTATTGGCTTTAATGGATTGAAAGAGATGGGATTGATCTCTATTTTCATGAGACAGCTGGTTAGGGTATTTCTCTTCTGTTTTGTATGTTTCCCGGGGTGTTCTTGGTCAACATTTTGGTATTTTGTCCACATTTAGGTGTCATTTATTTCGGTTATTTGTTATTCATTAGATTGGAGTAAGAGTATAGTTACTAAGACAGAATATTTCATCGGCAGACTGGGATTGACTTGTAGCCCTAATTTCGGTCACCGAATTATTCACCCGAGTCCAACCATGTACATTCAAAATGTTGTACATGCATACGTACATGTCTATGTACAGATAAGCCTCGTTCTGCTGGTTGGTGTATCCACAAATAAATAAGCTTGAATTAAAAATTAGACTATAATTGCTTAAATTGAATCCCGGGGAGATGAAAATTCCACAAGGTTCATTTGATCTAGATACCAGAGATATCCGCATTAAGAAATCTATATTCGGGGGATGGTAAGAAATAAAGAGCAAAATCCATCACATCATGATCATTTTTTTTTCCACGCTGGAGAGTCACGGCTCGCTTGGACCCAAAATTCAAAGAAATCAAGAAAAAAAAGAAAGAGGGGGAGAAATAAACCGAAAGTGAACAAAAGAAAAAAAGGAGCAAGCTAGTCTCATCCCATTTATTGAGACAGAAGACATCCGTTTATTCTCTTTGTTCGATTCAATTTTTCACCCAAGTCTCAGCGGGCCGGCCGCCAATACCACGCGCCATACAGATAGGAGCAGAGGTTTTTTCATATGAGTTATCCGCCCACACAGCACTGCTGGCCGGGAGGATAGAGCCACTGTCCGAGACACCGATGGGGCCGAGATCCTCACGCGCAGAAGCAATTTGCGGGACGACCAGCTCGACCCCCTTGCTAACGCTCGTACCGGAAAAGTACGGGTTGTGGCGCGGGGGCAGCGGCCGGGACTCGTACATGCCAAGGTAGTCAGAGGCGGTGCTGCTGAAGGACGAGGCCACGGTGGACGGGGTGTTCGTCAGGCTGGGCACGTGGCTGTGGCTGTAGCCGTTGGCGGCACCTCCAGCCAATGCGGGAAGGCTGGAGCTGCTGCGTTGGACGGCAGGGCGGGAGAGCATGGGCTCACCGCTGCCGCGGTGGAACTGAGATAGATAGTTCCATGCGTCGGAGGATGCCAGGGATGAGGCGTTGCGGCCTAATACAGGCTTCCACTCTGTGGGGTCAAGATCTGACTTGGCATCATGCACGTGGCTGGGTATGCGCATGGTTGGGATTGAGTTGCTTGGCACCCTGGTTGGGGTCATTGGGGCAACAATAGTGCGTGGAGAGAGAGGGGGAGAGGTGGGTGGTGTAGTAGTGGAAGACATTGAAGACATAGATGGTAGTGATGCTGATAGTGGTTTGCAGGAGTCTTTGCGGCGGCAACTATATAGACGAAAAGAAATGATAAGTATTCAAGTGCCAAGATATAATGCAGGTCCCAGACAAAGAATGGGAGACTTTAGGCGAGAAGGAGGGGATATCAATGGCTCTAAATATAGGTCCGGGGTGTGCCACATACCTTTCGCTACAATATAAAATAGTGTTGTTGGGGACAGTAATCTGGTTCTCACACATAGCGCTGGAATTGGGTCAGCTTTATGTCCATTGAAGAAAAGACCGGTGTATGAAACACAGATGACGGCAACAGGCATGTGAGGGAAATAATCCCTGCAGCAAAGATAAGAGCTTTAGGTTGATCACATACCAAAAGTTCAAGAAGCTGGCCATGTCAAACTCTGTATCGTCCGAAGACGTAGATGGTTTGCTCACTCCCCTTTGTCCCGAGCCCAATTTAGTGATTGAAACGTTGGCACTGGATGTTCCTCGTCGATGTAAAGTTGGACGAGTAGACTTGGACTTAGAGACATGAGCAGTAGAAGGAGAGCGGCGGTGGAAGGGGGCTGTTTGAGTCATTTGTGGCGGTGAAAGCATTCAAATGCCTCACTATCTTATCAAGAGAAGATATCGCCGAGACTGGAGCAAGTGTGGAGCACAAGGGCCCCTGAGGAAGCACAGACTGAGGGATTTGTGTTGAAAAGTGTTGATTCCAACTGGAATGTGCCGGGCCGGTGTAATTGAGAATACAAAAGGCTCCCAAAGAAGAAACAACGAGGTATGTATACTCAGGAGTGAAGGCAAATGCTGATAAGGTGTCAGTATCTGGCGTTCCCGATTCAATGCAGGGCTATCTTTAGCCTGTGAGTGGGGAGAGATAAGAATGAGAACAGGGTTCTCCAGGGCTGAAGATAAGAGTAACATACCAGTCTATAGTAAGATCTATAAGAAATACCTTTAAGAAAAGGTGACACAAAATAAGAAGAGGGGGAATTGGAATATAAATACAAAGGGGAGAAAAAAAAAAGTCCCTGAAGAGAAGAAACGTGCTGTTGTGGTAGGATGAGACGATCACGTCTAGACCTTTTTGGAGACAGATGGAGTGATTTGTACCCGGTAAGTCACTTCCGATAGGGCCCGACGGCATATGCATGCCTAAGAGGTACTTCCCGGGTACTTCCCGGATGCTCCCAAGGTTGGCGACACGCAATTCCGGATCTAGACCAGCTGAGTCAAGGCTTCTATAATTAACCGGTCTTTTCTTTTCTGATGGATTATGTTGTATTGATCTGTTTCTAATTGTAACAATTTCCTAGTTTTGACCTTTGAAACGCACAGATGCAGAATTTCCAAGTCTATCTGCAGTAGCGCACCATTTATCCGGAGGGGGTCGGATCTGGCATGATAGATTCATAATCTTCAAGTATTACTACAAGTTAATACTTGTATACATTTGTACAACATACCATATACGAATCAATATATTTAAAATGACGCCATAAATCCCTCGAGGTCTAGGATCCATATACGTACCCGTATGGCGTGAACTGGTGGGTATCAATACATCATCGCATTAGTTTTTACATATTTCTACACGTATACAAATTAAGCCAACGTACATATACGGAGTGAAGATAACGCAATAACTGCCGGCTACGGCGACAAAATAGATTATCAGAATATAGTGCCACATCTATTACGATAAAGTGTTGCAGGGGCCTCGTCACAGATGTGAGATCATTCTAGGCCTATTTGTCGATCCTCCGTGTTTCGGGTCCTATGGGGAAAATCGGGGCTTTTTTTCGAGAACGATTCCCGGATAGGGCATCACTGTTTACATCAGAACACTTCTGTTGGCATTTTTCCTTGTTGGCATTTGAGTTCCGCCGGGTACCGATTTTGTCCCTTGGATAGTCCAGATCGGGGTATAATATCTCACAGGGCGAGCTTTCGATTGATTTTTCACTGTGGGGCATGTGACATCTGTCATAGAATACTATCATAGAATACTACATCATAACAGTGAAGCTTTGACGTTTGTGATACATATATTCAAGACAATGATGTACCTAGAAGTAATTTTCCAACCGCGGTCAGAACATATATTTCTGGGAGAAAACTAAGATCCCACATACCGTAGTTTCAATGGTTGTAATGTGGTATTTCTGAAAATACTAGAATCCTTCAACAATCCAGTAAACACGGTATTATAAGGAATCAGTATCGTTAAATATTCCGGTACTCTATAATGAACCTTGGAAGATAAAGAGAGAGGTAATATATACATAGTAGGATAGGTAAATGAGAGTATCGGATCTGCCTCGGTCCATCTAGACATGCTCATGGGCCCTGAAAAGCCGAGTTACGTCGATTGGTCGGTCGTTGCTTAGAACTGAGACGGCTCATCGTCTCGGCCTCTTCATAACTCCCCTCCAGCAGTAGATTGACGAGATCCTCGCGTTTAATCCTCATCACCGGGTCAGGGAGGCCTGTTCGAGCGTCTTTAAGTAAGATAGAGGCTGCTCTATCCAAGGCCTGTAGAGATTTGAAGCATTTATGCTGGTCTAGAACATATTAGCGATAGAAAGAGCACCAAAGGGATGTAAAGATAGTACCGAGATCATTCACATTGTCCGGAGTTAGGCCATATAGAGTACGGAAACTTTGCCATTCGGTGCTACTTTTCTCGTAGCGCTCAGTGACTACTATGGCATCGGATCGCACATCACCACCGTGGATAATAGACTTGTTGAATCTTCTGGTGTCGTCCTTATGTAGCGCATCACGTACCCATGTGGAAATAGCCCTTTGGCGGAGATCTAGATGGCTTTGCCGGTGGGATTCGAGTTTCTGGCAGTGGGATTCGAGTCTCTCAATATCTGCACGCATTCCACGAATTTCCGTAAGAAGGCTGAGGCCGCCTTCGTTGGCGGCTATACCCTGCTTAGTATCGTATTGCAGCGACGGCGCCTCATTAACCATTTTGGCTACACAGGCGGCAAGAGGGTTTTCCTTATTATCAACGGAACTATGATAAACAATCTGTGTTTGGCCCTATAGCATAAGCGAATTAGTTGAATAGTTTATGCGAAGGAAGGTGCGAAATGAACTCTACTCTAGGTAGAGAATGTCTATCCGCACACCTTTAGTCCTTTTTGGGTATAGGTCATCTTAGCACATAGATTCTTACCTGACTGTATAGTTTAATAAGGTATCCCTATAGTGATTTCATCGATAACCCTACCCCAGAATCCAATAGCCGGCTCCCGAGGTCCCACCCATAATTATTGTCGTACAATTGCCAGTCGATTTTTGAAGCTATTCCCAGTTTTATTACTAGCATCATCGTTGTCCAAACTCCATTTTTGAAGCTAGTCCTAGCTTTATCTCTCACTTTTCTCTCACTTTTCTCTTCCTTTTCTCTTACTTTATTATAGACCTTTGCCTTAAACCTCCTACTCTCCCCACTAAAGCCTATGAAGAGTGGGACTCCCCCCCCCCCCATCCATGCAAATACATGGCTTTCATTTGCAGTAGATCCGACTGAGTTTATTGGGAAGAAGGTACTAGCAGTGCCGAGATGTTGCCAGAAGAGGAAGGGAACACAGGATCGCTGGCGAGTGAATGCCCTTGTGGCCCCGAGGGTCCATAGGTTGGAACAGAGGGTCCATAGGTTGGAACATTGAAGGACGCTAAAGAATGGAAAACTCTGACAGAAGATGAAAATCGAGAACTTGAATTAATATACCGTCGCATTCCTTGCTAGGACCCTTAGCTAGCCCTTTTCAGAAACACTATATGAATAAAATTGATATCGATAGTGAAATAGAATATTACAACTTCTAACGTCTATTCTAGGGCGACGCTAAAGGCTAGACTTATTTCGCCTTTATCGAATAATAGCCTTTCCCCTTACTTTTCTCTCTTGTAGAACTCCTTCCTATAGAGAGATCTGAAAAAGCCTTATACTATATATTGCCCTAAATTTTTGTTTCGAAGTAGGCTAATTTAATCCGACCTAAAGGCTAAAGCCCAATCGCGAAGCTAATATAGCAAGCTTACTCAAGCTCATATCTATAGTGGACTATTCAAATTGTTGACGAATATTTCTCAGGCGGTCTCCTTAGTGGACAAAATGCCTATAAGCGAAAAGCTAAAGCTATAGTATAGATATAGCGAACTCGTGTTTAGTTTACTAGATATAAGACGCAGCGCGGGGAAGTAAAAGAGAGAGGCTTGCTCACGTTTAGGGGAACCTAGATGTACTATGGGGGTCCCGTAGATCATATCCCTATTAGGGCGGTAGAGGGGTGGTGCGTCGTTTCTGGCGGCCCGCTCACCGTGTCAACTAATACTAAAAATATATAGATTTTCTATATAACTTATATAAATCATAGGATTCTATAAATTTAGCTATATTTACACTATTTATAATACTGCGGTACTACCGTTATAGTACTGCATATTGGGAAAAATCTGTTGGAGAGGTGATGCTGACGTTTGGGTTTCTGTCTGGGTATCTAATATAACTAATCATGCTTTATCAATCTCCATTGGCTCTGGTGCTGTTCGAGTCCCAACCGGAGTGGGTGTCAAAGGAACCTCGAGAGCCATTTTGTCGATCTTCTTCCCTGTAAACGACTCGGCCTGGCCATCATCCCTGTCGATCTGCAGTTTCACTGTGCCTGGGCCTGGTTTGCCTGTAAATCGCTCAGGCACTCCACGGGCAGCCTCGGCCGGGCCGACAAAGCATCCAAGCATCGAGCTCCAGATATATCCCTCCGATAGTAGACGGCGGATCTGGCCATACGCGTATGAATTGGCGTAAGGGAGAGCGGTTTCTGGATCGCGGTAACGCGAAGGCAATGAGGTGATGACGCAAAGCGATGACGAGATTTCTATTAGGAGGTTAGCCTTGCAGATTCTTAACAAATCGAATGATACGTACTGGTCAAACGAGCAGGCTTCTTGGCGTTGAAGTACATGCTGTATTTGCGGTGGTTGGCGGTCGCATAATCAAAGTTCTCCAAGATCGTAAGAGTACGCCCCGTATGCTCAATCACTGGAGGGGGTTCTGGAATCTCTGGTTGTGCTGATTCCTTCACTATTTCATTTGATAATTGTGATTCGGACTGTAACGTAGATGGTTGGTTTAGGCTCTGAGCCGGGGCATTTTCGGGCACCGTGCCTTGACTAGGTGCTGCAGTGGCCGGGGAGGCTTGAGGGGCAATCGCAATTGCAGGGCTGATAGTCGTGGCCGATTCAACTGGCCGAGACTCGTCCACTGGCGGTCGTTCTCGTACAGCCGTATCAGCAGCATGTGATATAGGGGTCTTGGTCGGAGTCAGTTGGGTGCCAGCAACGTGCGGGGTGGCCAAATTTGCCTGGCCCGTTGATTCTGGAACTTCTTGGTTAATCTTGGCAGAATTTGAAGCCGCTGCAGCCGCTGGAGGTTGATCAAGGTCCATGGCACCGTCATCCTTGATGGGAGACGGCTCAGGCAATTTTTGAGTAGAGCCATTGCTCGCAGAATCTATTGCATGACGAGACGCTGGAATTTCCACAGCAAACATCTTTCTCTCCGAATGTTTGGGCTCCGAGGACCGCCTTTCAGTGGGCTGATCTTGTTCAGAGGGTGCTACTGGTGTATTCGTGTCAACTTCTGGGGCTTTCTTCTCAACAGCATTGTCTTTGACCTGCTCCGCAGGGGGCGTCGTGATTATCTTCGGCTCTGATGAGTTTACATCTGGTTGGCTATCGTTCGCCCCAGAAGGCACCAAGGTGGTGTCTGCATTCTCTGCAGTCGGAGCTGCGGCATTCTCGGGTGGCCTGTTTTCAGGCGCTTCAGGCGCCTTTTGGTCTAATGTGGAGGTAGGAGGTAGAGCGGAATTTGCTGGACCAGGAATACCAACTGGATGGACGTCCGGTGGTGGCTGCGATGTGCCTGTGGTAGAGGCAGGGCCGGATCCAACGATGCTTGCAGACCCCACAGACTTTGACTCTGCCGCAGCCTTCTCTTTATCTTCCTTCTCTTTCTTTTTCTTCCTCGATTCTTCTTTATCGGCCTTTGGCTTGATATCGATTTTGCCCACCCGTGTGAGACGCCCGTTTGTCCATGTAGCCACACCACTCCAGTAGGAAATCACCGGACCATCCAAACGGCGGTTTTGTAGTGCTTCGATCCTCGCTCGTCTTTCGTCCGCTTTTCGTTTTTCTGACAGCTCCCAGCGGTTCAAACTTTTGCTATTAAGCCGTTCCACTCTTGCAGCTTCCGCAAGATGATCCTCCTGGGTCATCTCTTTCGGTTTCAAATGAGCCTTCCGCTTCTCTGCCTCCTTCATTGTAGCGATGATGCGGACCCGCTTCTCCTGGCTATCCTTGAGACGAGCATGCGTAAGTTCTTTGTTGACCATGGTCTGCCGACGCGATGATTGTCGAGTAGGCCCATCCTCCACAGTGGGAATCCATGAGATGCGCTCTGACTTTTTCTTCGGACGAGGAGCGGCAGCCATGGAGGATGGGGCGGTCGGATCAATCTTGACTCGTTTACGCAGGGTCTGGAACCGGAGGTCATTCTGGGCTCTGCGCTTCTTGCGCTCGTCTTTTTGTAGTTTTTGTTCGCCTTCGTAGTCGTTCTGCGCGTCGGGTCCTTGGTCTTCATCCTCGTCCGACGATTCAAGCAATTCATCTTCTGCGTCGGGGTCTGCTACATCCGCAAACTCATTATCGTCTTCTACTTCCTCAAAAAGAAGCGCCAAGTCATCATCGGCAGCGGCCTCAAGGAGAGCAGACATGTGCAGTCCTGCGGTACTCCGTTTCGCACGCCCTCGGACCAATGATTCCACGGGCATCTCCTCTTCCTCTGAGGATTGTACCCCAGAAGATGGGTCTTCCACAATGTCGGCCATGGTGTTACTGGGGTGGCAGGTGCCTTAGGAATGGACGGTTAAGCATCGGACGCGAGAAGGGGACGCGCGCACGACAAACTATGGTTGAATCGTCAATGATTAGCAAACAAAAATTATAAAGAATTATAGGATATAAAAAGTGAATTCTACCACACGATTAAAGATGAGCTGAAGTGATGGAAAGATACCGGAGCAAGTTGGCAAGGAGAGTGACTTGAACAGGTAGTGGCGCGAAAGAAAATGTGGTGCCTCAGGCGAAAAATTATCTAGCCAATGATTTTATCTAACGTGTTTACATCGACCTTGAAGTAACGACACAACATGTCTCTGATTCATTTGGTTCTACCTCCACCATTATATATTGACTGATACTACGGAGTACTTCGTACTGAACAATTATTTTATGGATAATCTACCCTTTATGTCCCACGCCATGAACCCGGTTCTGTACCGATTGCTTTTGGAAGCTTGGCGAACACCCTATCTAGAAAAGAGCCTGGAGTTCGTCAAGCTAGCAATCGGCAGATAAATTCTATTCTATTTACGTCTCTAACACAGCCACCATGACCAACTAAAGTAGACTCCATGTCGCCACTGAAAACAATGACGAGGATATGTACCTGACCCATATCCCTTGCGCGCAGAACACAATCTTTTTTTTTTCGCAGTCAAAACAGTTTTTGTTTACATAAATACATCATATAGGGAAATATCTTCATATTTGTGACCTGCTTCAAAATATTCAAGCGTTGAGACATGACGCACTGGAATGCGGGGCTTTTTCTTTGGTTTCCACTCTCTCTGTCTCTCTTTAGGGTCATGCCATGATGGCTTTTCCTCCGAGAGAAAACCTTGACTACTTTGATGAGGTTTCAAGGGCCTATATAAACATATACTCCTTGTAATTGATATCTATAACCACCAGTCTCCCGGATATTCAATATAGCCAAAATGTCTGGAGGAACTGCCGATTCCCTTCCCTGGATATTTGAAAGTCATCCAGTGCTTATAGATGTTTTGTCTACGTCCTTATGCACCTCAGAACTCAATAGAGATTGAAAACAGCCATATAATCATAGATTAGATAGATCAGATTATATTCAATCCAATCAAATTCCATAATTAAAAGCAAAATTCATCTGAATCAACAATTGAATTGTGGGTGAAGCTGAAGGAGGGCCCTCCACCAACCACAGCCAACTTCCTCGGGCATCCGGCCAGCTCCCCAACATCTCTTCCTCCTTCTTTTCCTCTCCCCTTCTCATCCTCCCTTGACTTCTTCCTCACTTCTCTTTTTTTTTTCTTTTGATTTCTGCATTATTAGGGTGAATTCAACTTTCGGTTAGTGTTGAAAGACACTTCTCGGAGCGCAACACTAACTCACTTCCAGCCACCTCGATCCCTTTGGACCCGGATCATCCTTTCCATCTTTTTATTTCTCAACTTAACGCACTCTGTGCAAGACCATCCTTGTGAATTTGCCGTGTTTTTGGAGCCTTGGACGACTATAGAAAAGGACTTGTCCTTTTTTACCCTTCTCGACTCGATTACTTTTGGACACCCGCAGATTGTCATACACTCCGAGCAAACGGTGAGATTATCAAAGACTCTCGACATAGCACAGTAGTGCTTTTGGAAAGAATCGCTCTCGGTACGAAATATCCTCATTCATCTCGACTTTATGGAATTGCTTTGTCGACCCCTCCCACTTTACGAACCCCCCCCCCCAAAATAGCAAAAACCCATATTTCGAACACCAACTAATTTGGACTTCTGTTTCTAGTCTGTCCTTGATTTCTCGACTTTATCCTTATTCCATGTTTCCTATTCCACGCCTTTGAACGACAAAGCTCATTCAAGTTCCGACCTTGCTCCATTTTTGACATTTGCGCGGAGGTCATAATTTAGAAGGAATTCGGGCGCTGCCTTGTTAAAGGCCTAAAGTGATAATCCATAATGTTGCCAGTTTCGCGACCTGACGGTCAGATGAATTTCAATTACATCCCAACCACCCAACCCATGTCCGGCACCTCGACGGGGCGCAGCTCTCCCAGTGATCTGGCTGGATCTGGGAACCCAAGAATGCCATTTGGACCTTCTCCGGGCTCCATTGGCAGTTCGAGGCCGGGGGCTGGCTCCCCTTCTCATGATTTGGCGTCACGTCTGTACTCGAAGCGGTTAGTTTGATTCTCATGGGACACAAACTGTGACAATTAACTGACCCTATGATTCTTCTCACAGAGCCCGTGAAATTCAAGCGCAAGAAGGTATTTCTCCTAGTATTTGGGGACCTCCTACTAGCGGCCATTCAACCCCGCTTCGTGAGAATATTCCCGAATCACCGAGCCAAGATAGTTTTCCCGATTTGATCCCTACCACCAATGGCTCCATTGACAGCCCTGGCCGCCGAGCTCGCGCTGGAACAGTCCCGTCTCGTTTTCCTCCAATGGGTACACTAAATGAGATGGATCTTCAGCAGCCTTACATGCCGCAGACCTCACGGCCAACACCCTCAACTAGTCCTTTCAGGCCCCCGGGCGTTTCCGGCATAGATACGAGTTCTAAGGTGGCGAGTTCAACTGCTGTGTCCAACCCGGCATCGCTATCCCGCCTTCGAGCTGGCTCGATGCCACAAAGAAGCAACTTTTTGGGAGGTGGCGGCCCCTTCGGTCCCTCATTGTTTTCAACCAACTGGTCGACGGGTCGCGAGAGAGCTACAACTTTAACCAGCATTCGATCTTCGGAAGGACCGACTTCACCCAGCCACTCTTCTTTCTCGAGGGATGGGCTCGCGGACACCGATGTCAAGACATTGGATTACTTGGGGCTTGCTGAGACCCCTCAGCAGGGAATGGCCTCGCTTGCACGTCCCTCAATGGAGGCTTTGATGCAACAGCAGCAGCAACAACAGCAAGCTTCTGCGCTGCCACCACTCCTAGCTGAGTTGGCGATGATGAAGAACAATAATCGATTCCGATCATACTCCGTGAATGCTAAGGAGAAGTACGCGGATGACGAGGATCTTGAATATGAGAACCGTTACTCCCAGCTTCCCTCGGGTACTATGACGCCAACCGCCGCTGCAACTGCCGCGCAACTCGCCGCCACACAGGCCCAGATTCACCAGCATAATCTCGCCGTTCAAGCTTTTGCCAGCCACGCCTCTGTCAGCAGACCCCGAGCGCGAACTGCTGGCATTTTGGAGGCACCTCCCCAGCGATCATCCATCCGTAACTACCTTGCCACGCCTTCTCGCCTTGACAACAGCTTCAGTGCTGCTGACCTGCAGATTGCCGAGAACGGTGAATATGACGAATTGTCAGAGGCAGTTCAACTGATGCATCTTGGCGGTAACGGTATCCCCGCCATGGTTGGCCGACAGGCCGGCGAGATGGCAGATGAGAACAACCAGGATGGGCCTACCCGGGCACTTTGGATTGGTAGCATTCCCGTGTCCACTACCGTCACGTCTCTGGAGGCCATTTTTGGTATGTATGGAAAGATCGAGTCGACCCGTGTTCTAACTCACAAGAACTGCGGGTTTGTCAACTTCGATCGCCTTGAAAGCGCCGTGCAAGCAAAGTCACTGCTTAATGGCAAGGAGATTTTCCCAGGAGCAGGTCCCGTTAGAATTGGTTATGCCAAGGTTCCCGGCGCATCGGCCACCGGTACTCCTGGTGCGAATGGCATCCAGTCATCTCCCACTCCTGACCCGAACTTCAGAGCAAATATCGCAGCGGCAGATGGGGCGGATCGAGCTGACAATGCTAACATGGTCCCTCAAATTGCCGCTCTGACGGATCTGTTGCCTGAGATGGTGCAAATCGTGCAAGAATTTGGCGCAAGTGAAGATGACTTGAAGAACATCACGGCAAGCATCCAGACTTCCATCGCGTTCCAAGCTTTCGAGGATGAGATCCCCTCGGTCCAGGAAACGAGCCAGTCCCGGATGTTCGACGCCCCACGTCTCCGTGACATCCGGAAGAGGATTGACAATGGTGCATGCTCAATCCAAGAGATTGAGGAGACTGCCGAGGCCATGCTTCCTGAGGTTGCAGAGCTAGCGTCCGATTATCTGGGCAACACTGTGGTTCAGAAACTGTTCGAATTCTGCTCTGAATCTACCAAGGAGCAGATGTTGTCTCACATTGCTCCCCACCTCTCCGAAATTGGCGTTCACAAGAATGGAACTTGGGCTGCGCAGAAGATTATTGATGTCGCGAAGACTCCTGGACAGATGCAGCTGATTGTTGATGCTCTCCGCCCTTACACGGTTCCTCTTTTCTTGGATCAGTATGGAAACTACGTTTTGCAGTGCTGCCTGCGATTTGCCAGCCCCTTCAACAGTTTTATCTTTGAGTCTATGCTCAGTCGAATGTGGGAAATCGCCCAGGGACGTTTCGGGGCCCGAGCGATGCGGGCTTGTCTCGAAAGCCACCATGCCACCAAGGATCAGCAGCGGATGCTTGCATCTGCTATCGCTCTCCACAGTGTGCAGCTGGCTACTAATGCCAACGGAGCTCTTTTGCTCACTTGGTTCCTTGATACGTGCACATTCCCTCGTCGCCGAACAGTGTTGGCCCCGAGACTAGTGCCTCACCTTGTTCATCTCTGCACACACAAGGTTGCCTACTTGACTGTTCTCAAGGTGATCAACCAGCGGAACGAGCCAGATGCTCGAGACATTGTTCTTAAGGCACTCTTTTTCAGTCCCGGAGATGAAGTTTTGGAGAAGATCCTGAGCGACCAGACATCTGGTGCGACTCTGATCTTCAAGGTCTTGACCACCCCATTCTTTGACGAGTCTATGCGGGCTGAAGTCGTGAAGAACGTGTCCAAGGTTCTGACGAAGCTCAAGGCTTCCCCAAGCCAAGGCTACAAGCGTCTGATGGATGAAGTGGGCCTTTCCTCACGAGGCAGCGGTGGTCGGGAACATCACCATGGACGTGAAGCGGGCCACTCCACTCCGGAGAAATCGCAACACCGCCAAGCTCGCCACGGAAGCACAGGTTATCCAGCCCAGCCGTCCATGGACAGACAATACAATGGGCAGTTTGCTCCCAACACGTTTGGACAGAACACAGACAACCGTCCTATCTCTGCCGACCAGACCAACCCCCCGCCCCTTGATCCGTACTCGACCAACGGACTCGGAAACCACTTGAACGGCCTTGGCGGCCCAGGAGGATACAGCCAGGAATCCCTGAGTCAGCAACAGCTGCAATACCAAGCCTTCCTCGCTGCCCAGGCTCGTGGAGTTACTCCAGGCTATGCCGGCATTCCGGGCGCCAACTATGGCTACCCGGCTAGCTCACCCGCTGTGGATAGTTTGCGATCTCTGCAGCCGCAGCAGGCTTCTCAGCTGTCTGGACCAGGCCAGATGAGTCCCAACCCGATGCTTGCCCAGAACAACTACCAGCAGTTCAGCCCCGTTGTCAACCCTGCCCAGATGTATCAATACCCTCCGCAATACTACCCCCAGGCACAGCCTGTGCAGGGGCAGTCGGGCGGAGGCCGACGTGGACGGGTGAGTTCATTCTCAGATCGGCCTTAAACCGTGTAATGCGGCAATACTAACGTACATGCCTTTGCCTCCAGCGTTGATGCCATCTTCGCGTATGATTTCTAATCGATCTACCTGCCTTCCCATCTACATTGTATAAATTTTCTTGATCATCTTTTTTTCCCTTCTTTTTTTCTCCCATTTTTGAAGTTTCTCATGGAGACCAAGCGGATTTATCTAGCTAGGTGTTGTGATTTCGCTATCTATTCGCCCTGATCGGACGCTGGATCGCCGGCAGGGGAGAATCGGACCCGGGAGAGGAATTGGATGCGCATGGAGAACCGGTGAAAAAGTCTTGTGTCTCTTCTGGGTGGAGGCCCAGTTTTGTATCTTCAGCGTTTTTGAATGACCTTGTATCTTGTGATCTTACGATAGGACTTTTTTCTCTTCTGTCTTGTTTTAAGATCAAGATTTGGCTACCTAGTGGAGCATAGTGAATTGATTGATGCAGTGCAGATTATATTGTAGAGTGGATGCAAATAAATCGAATTTTATCGAAATGAAAAGAATTAACGTCAAAATCCCTGCCATATTGGGATTTATATAAGGCTGAGAGAATTGAAACTTCCACAACTACCCGGCGCAATCCACCGCTCATTTTCACCATCACCAACAAGGGGAAAGACAAGGTCTAATATGAGCAATACTATCCAAGAGGAGACTGCAATTCTATTCCAGGATACAAATATATACCTCCTCGACATCCCGTATTCAATCGCGCTTGCGCAAGAAGGGAGCCCGACACCACACCAACAACTCCCAGAATCAAGTTCAGGAACAGAAAATACAGGAAATACCATTCGCAGGAAGAAAGCGAGCCTACTTTCATGCGAACCTATAAAAGAGCCATTCCCATCTACTGAGCCCAAAAAGCCAAGTGCTCTCGCCAAGGTTCTCGACAGCATTCCCCTCTCTGAGAGACGGTTCCACTCGGAACTGATACTGCCACTTGTGAGGGATTCACTCGAAACCATCAAGGCCGGATTTCCACCTGATCGCCGATGGTGTAAGGATCGAGCAGTGCCTAGTGCATTTCACGATAGCACATGGCGGAATCAGCATCCACGGAAGCGGCGGAGGGGAAACGATTATACATGCTTAGAGTCTACGCCCGAGGACCATGTTTCAACTAAAAATGAACCACCTATGATTCTATCGACTACCTCACCGAATGAATTCGAGGCTTTGTCAGATCTTGCCATTGTCAAGAATCCATCGCCAGAGTCCGCAATCGTCAGGGTTGGAAGCTCGCACGGTGATGAAACGAATCCTCCATGTGCATATGTGGTCCCACCTGAGTCGAGCTTTGTGCTTTGTACACTACCTCTATTTCAAACTGAAGTCGATCGTCCATCTACATCCAATGACTATCCTATCCCCGGGGTCCCCAAGCACCAGAAGTTCAATCTCATTCTCATGGACCCGCCCTGGCCAAACAAATCCGTGCGGCGCAGCAAGCACTACCAAACACATCACTATTCCGAAATGGATGTACTTACGGAGGGACTACGGGATATACTCCGTGCGCACTCGCACAACGAAATACAAGATGGGCTACGTCAATCTGAACCCCACACTGGACGCCCGATCCAAAGCGAACAGTCTATAGCTGCTATATGGATCACCAATGCAGAAAAGGTCAGGCGAGCAGCATATGAGGCTTTGAGAGGCGCAGGCTTTTGCATCTGCGAGGAATGGATCTGGGTCAAGACTACATGGGACGGGCAACCGATCTCAGCACTGGACGGTCTTTGGCGAAAACCATATGAGATCCTTGTCATTGGCCGTAAAAGTAGCCATAATGTCAACGTCGACGTTAAGAACAACAATCTACCGCCACTTTCTCAAATGGATGATCTGACGCGGATAAGTGAGGCCATTACCACGAGACGAGTCATCGCTGCGGTTCCGGACTTGCACTCTCGTAAGCCAAATCTGAAATTCATTTTTGAGAATGTGTTTTTCACAGAGGCTGGTCAACTCCAAGAGTATTCTGCCCTCGAGGTATTTGCGCGCAACTTGACGGCTGGCTGGTGGGCTGCTGGTGATGAGGTTCTTCGGTTCAATGCCCGTGACTGTTGGGTCGATCTTGTTAAGTAGAATGCAGATACCAATCAGTGTTTCGGGTCAAGATGCCATATGTGGCTTCTGTATGTCTATTGAGTCAGCGCTTATGTATATGGAGTCATACAATGCATTATACATCTACTGCTTATTCCGGTCATTTCACCCCGATAAGTGCGGCACATTCCGCGCTGACAAAATATATATTAAAAAAAATTTGGATTAGTGATTTTCAATTAGAGTCATAAAATGACATCTTAAGTACATTTTAACTACACCATGCTCATTTAGAAACGTTTATAGGTGGAAAAGACTCTCTTTTGTTAGACAAATTACCTCGCTGTGTGACCCCCCAAAACGGGTCGAATAGACAGAATTTTCGGCCCCAACAGATCTTCTACCTTCGAACATTTCGCAGAAATGGCAGATCAAGAAAATGATTCAGATCTCGACATTTCAGGGCGTCCAAAATGCTTCACCAGCACATTCCAAGAAGTTCTCTTCGTCCTAACTGCCACAATGGCTATCGGCCAGCAGTCATTCTTCCAGGGCTGTATCGTGGGAGTAACAGCATCTATCGGCAAGGATTTACATATGAATGCTGCTGAAATAACCTGGATCAATGCCGGTGCTTCGTACGTACAATTCCTACTTTTATTTCTCTCCACTTTTTCCCCGGATTTTATCCGATTCCCTGCATACATCATACATATCACACAACATACACAACTAACTATGACCCAACAGCCTCACAAGCGGTGCCTTCCTACTCACATTCGGGAAGCTAGCCGACATGTTCGGACGCAAGATCCTATTCATCATCGGCATGGCTGGTTTCACCTTCTCACTACTCATCGCGGGTTTCGCAACGAATGCCATTTACATGGATGTCTTCTCGGGCATTTTAGGGTTATTCGCGGCGGCTGTTGTCCCACCCGCAGTCGGTGCGCTGGGCGCTACTTACGAGAAGCCCTCAAAACGCAAGAACCTTGCCTTTGCCTGCTTCAGCGCAGGAAACCCGCTTGGCTTTGTCGGTGGCATGATCATCTCCGGTGTCGCAGCGCATTTGTATAATTGGCGGGCTTCTTTCTGGGCTCTCGCTGTTGTCTATGCTATCTTTACCGTTTTGACCGTGTGGACGGTGCCGGCTGATGGGTTTGATAGGACGCCTTTGAGCATTAATGCCCTGAAACAGTTTGATATTCTCGGCACGGTGTTGGTTATTGTTGGGTTTGCGTTCTTTTCGAGTTCGCTTTCGTATGTTTTTCCCTGATGAATTGATCATGGCATGTTCTTGGGCTGATCACTTTTATAGTCTGGCTGCAGATGCCCCAGATGGCTGGAAGACGGGATACGTCCTTGGTCTGTTTATCGTGGGCTTCTTCCTTCTTATGGCGTTTCTGTATTGGCAGTCCGTTGCCACACACCCTCTGATGCCTCTTTGGGTTTGGCGAGATCGTAATTTCTCTCTGGTATGTGGCCACTTTTCAACGAATCATAGATTGAAACTAACTGTTTAGCTCATTGGAACTTGCTGCATTGGCTTTATGGGCTTCTCCGCTGTCAGCTTCTTCCTCTCCCTCTACCTTCAAAACCTGAAACATTTGTCCGCCCTTGAGATCACTGTTCAGTTACTCCCAATGGTTATCAGCGGGGTGTTGGTCAATGTCGTCTGCGGTCTGGTCCTGCACCGCGTTAGCAACACAATACTAACCGGCATCGGAGCACTGGCATATACAGCCTCGTTCCTTATCCTGAGCTTCATGACGCAAGAAGCTACCTACTGGGCATTTATCTTCCCAGCGCTGGTTCTTGTCGTTGTTGGCGCTGACATTCAATTCAACGTCACAAATGTACGCTCAGCTTCCCTCCTTTCTATTCCTTGTCTTTCTGCGATACGTTCCGTCTTGAGGGTATTAACTAACTCCGTCTAGATGTACGTGATGTCGACCCTCCCACCATCTCAGCAATCCATCGCCGGTGGCATCTTCAACACCGTCAACAAGCTGTGTAGCAATCTAGGCCTTGGCATTGCTACTTCTGTGCAAAGCTCAGTCGCCCTTCACATGACCCCCTCCACGCCTGCAATTCGGCCTTACCTCTCGGTTTATTGGTTTGCCGCTGCGGCTTCGGGGGTGTCTCTGGTCTTGATACCATTCTTGACAATTGGTAAACAGGGAAACGATGTTCCACAAAACGCCCGGTTGGTTTCCGAGGAGGCTGGTGAGAAGACAAATGTTACTGCCAATACGGATTGTATGGTTTCTTCTGCTGTTGATATCGTCGAGCACGAGAAGAGGTAACCTTTTCATCCTGAAAAGAGTCGGCATGATCGAAAAGCAAGATGTGTGCAATATCTGGATATAGTAGATATAGCTGGGCATGTTGTACAACACATGCCAGTATATCTTGACTGTCCTTTCAGTGGAACTCCAGACATAGACACATATCATTAAATGTACTTAATAACATACCATTACCTTCAAGGCACAGCCTAAGAAAGACATACCATCTATCCGAATACCAGATCCAGAAACGTCCCCTATCTCACTTAATCAAACAAAGGTCCCAAACTAACTAGACTGAACCTCAAATCGGGATTTCCCCCCTGCGCCTCCATCTTCAGGAACCGCCTAACCCCCAAGTCCAACGCAGCCTCACTAAGCGCATCCTCCCCCTCCTTCAAAACACCCCTAGCCAACGGTCCCTTCCTCCTCCCATCCAACTCCCAAAGCGTCCCATCAAGCCCGCGGACAAAAGCAACAAAATGCAAATCAACATTATCCTCCGCCTCGGGCGCAGCCGTATCCCCCAACTTCGCCGCATCAGCATGCGCACTCTCCAGCGCCTTACTATCATAAAGCAAATCCGCCCGCGGGACAGGCTCCAAGCCCTCCGCTTCACGGAGCAAGTTATCCAAATCCGAGCCGGCAATAACATGTTTCCGGGCCTCGCCATTGGCGACAGCATGTAGCAGGCCGATCAACCCGCACGCATTGCGAATGGTTTGCTTAAACCACATTACCGGCTCTGTAGGACCCGAGCCTGTGTAGGCTGGCTTGGAGGCATCTTCTGCTTCGCGGGATGCTTCGTATGTTTGTGAGACGGGGAAGACGAGGAGGAGGGCATGCGAGGGGCGTGGGACAAAGGCGAGGAGGTCTGGTTCGTCGATTGAGAATACGTCGGTGAAGCCTAGTGTTGGAGCGAGACCGAGTTGGTGTACTAGATGGGACATTACTTCGGGGTTGTTTTCTGGTGAGGGGTTAGTTTGGGGTTGGTGGGGTATGATGTAGTTGGGTCGTACCTAATGGCACGAAGGCCTTTTGGGTGTTTGGGACGTCGACATGTGACATTTTGTTTAACAGTTCGGTTAGAATGGGTGTAGGAAGTACGGAGTATCTGGGGTGTGTTTGGGATAAGGTGAGGTTTAGGTCGGAAGGATTGCGGGGTCCGGGAGTTCCACGTTTTTTTTACCGATTAGATATTAAGTTAATAAGTTAATTGAGCTTTAAATGAAGCTTGGACAGGGGTTCATTGAATTGAATAGATAGATTTATAGATAATGTTTCAGGTCTAGAAACAATAATATGAAATAAATACTATCTTATTGAATATCGGGCCACACTTTCCCATAATAATGTCCACACGGGTAGAATGGAGAAAATGACTTTGAAACCTGAAAAACCGGGCCGGACTGTTTGCATATGTTTGCATATGTTTACACGTGTTGGCACGTGTCCAAGGAAATCCCCTACTATTAATAAACAAAAAGCCCTAAATTAATATTCTGCATTGACCTCCTAGGATCAGACCTCTATCCACACAAAAAGGATGAATAGGAGAATTCAATCACCGAGGTTGATCCCCGGGACAAAGCCCATTCTATACGCTAAATACGCGGCAAAGACTTTGTTTCCAAGAGAAGCTAGTACACGCTATTAGCGTCATCTTAATCACGATCGCCACTATACTTGCTTAAAAGATCAACTTGTACCGGCAATGATTTTCACACCGGACCCGTTACCAATTTCGGACTCCCAGGAAAGTGGGAACTGGGTCATTTCAAACGAAGCTAGACCTAACGGTCTGAATTAGCTCTCGCGAACCCCTGCCTAGAACTGCAAGCCACAGAAACCTTAGACGCGGATTTCTTCACGAAAATTGTCCGCTTCCTTGGCGCTATTCATGCATTCTCATCTTAGTACTCTATAGTTACCTACATCGTTAATTAATATCCCGCTTATGCCGTGTATTCACATACAACAATAGATCGACAGGAAATGGAATCCGCTCTTTGTCAATCTCTACTCCCGCGGACAAAGCCGTGACAGCCGTCTTGTCGATCATGTCGAGGTTGGCTAGCGTTATTCCAAGGTTTTACCCACTAAAAAAAAGCGACATTGACCAAGTAAAAGGCTAAAAAGGTTCTAGTTCTGACCTATTCCCCCCCTGTCTTTTGGAGGTTTTCTGCGGGTCCTGTCAAGGATGTTCTTATTTAGAATCCTTCTCCCCCACATTTGAATCCTTCCGGCGTGACAAGCTTTTGCCGACATGACTGACGAAAAGCAAAGAACCACGGCGGTTCAGACCATCGCCGCGGTCTTCCTGCCTATCGCCACTATTACGGTGATGCTGCGCATCTATGTGCGTGGATGGATCGTAAAGGCATTTGGATGGGATGATGGAAGTATGGTGATTGCATTGGTATGTTCTGAAATCCTTGAATCCTTCAATCCATATCCCTTCCCGTTATAGAGACCTAATATTTATTACAGTTATTCTACGCCATGTTCTGCGGAACCATGATTGGAGGCTCGATTTATGGCACAGGCGTTATGTTCGAACACCTCACTCCCGACAATCGTGTTACCGCAATGAGATTCTGGTGGCTCTGCGAGATCGCCTATTGTCTCGCCTCCGTTGGATGCAAGATCTCCGTCTGCATCTTCCTGATGCGCATAACTATCAAACCCCTCCACATCTTCATTCTCTACACCGTCATGGCCTTGACTGTCATAGCAGGCCTGGTTTTCATGTTCCTCATGCTCCTCCAGTGCAGGCCCTTGGAATTCTTCTGGACTCGGCTATACAATGCGCCTACGATAGCTCACCTAGACGATCCTAATCTTCCTGTCAAGGGCTCATGCATCGATATGAGTATCATCGTCAACATGACCTATGTGTACAGTGCATTTGCCGCACTGTGTGATTTCACCGTCGGCTTGTTGCCCATCTTCCTTGTGCACAATCTTCACATGAAGCGCCAGACCAAGATCGCCGTCATGGCCATTTTGAGCATGGCTTGCATGTATGTCCTCACAGGTTTTCCATACTTATTTATTTTTGCTAACAAGAGATTCTACAGTGCTTCATCTGCGGTTATCGTCCGTGTTCCCTTTGTCAAATCATTCTATGACCCCGATTTCCTCTGTATGTTTCTACTCCTCGTGATTGAAAAAGACATGAAACTAAAATCCCCTTCCAGACGCAACATACCAAATTGCCATCTGGTCCAATGTCGAAGCAGGCCTAGGAATTACAGCCGGTAGTCTTGCAACCCTCCGACCCCTCCTCCGAATCTGGACGGGCTCTCGCTCAGACCCAGATTACTCCACTGGATTCCCGGGCGGACGCTCACGGTCTGCATCACGTCCGTTGGGTGGCAGTGAAAATCGCCCTTTCCCTTTAGGCTCGCTTGATGAGAGCGGGCAGTCTCACCTGAGACCAGATAAGCTTGCTGTTACTGTCACGACTATCAAGAGCCAAAGGGATCCTGATGATAGCTATGGCACGAGTCCGACCAGCAGCGAGGAAAGGCTGACTATTGATCGGCCCTCGCCTCGGTTGCCGAATGATATAGGGTTGGGGATTCATCGCACGTTTGAGGTTACGCAGACTTCAACGGATAGGCATGATACTGAAAGATTTGCGAGGGAACATGTATAATTGATCAACGTATATATATGACATCAAAAATGTACATTAATTTCGTTAATGCGTTTGTTCATTTCGGGTTTGTATAATGTAACGTTTCTAGTAAGGGGTCGTAGTTAGGTGCACCTAGTTTTAATGGTGAGAAGTGGTTATATTTGATTCACTCGGTCATTAAATCTTTTGATCACTATGTACCGGAGACTCCTCTATTTGCTGGGCTTCTTTCCCTGCTTCAACGGCTGGAAGATATCCGTCCACAGCTCACTAGCCTCGCCCAGGAAGTATGTCAAATCAACATCAGCCAGACTAGCATCATCTCCAGACATAGCCTCAAGCTGCGAGATCAAGTTCTCCAGCCCAAAAGCCTTTCCCGTTGCCTGTGTTGCACCAGCCTCGAGCATAACATTGACAACATGAATATGGAAATGGTAGTAGGTCGGTTGATCTGCGAGATTCCAAAGTCAGCCAAACCCCTCAATGCAATGCAATGCAACCCCAACTCACAATGAACATAGAGCTTAATCTGATCCTCCTCCAAGGCAGGATACATAGAAACCGTAGCCTCAAGCACCCTCTCCCTCAAATACTTCAACCAAGGCACAAAACTCTTTTTAAGATCCCTCAAACTCCAAATATCCCTCCTCTGCACCAAAGCCAACAAATGCAACGACCCCATACTCTTCCGATCCCAATTCAAATCAGGCAACATCAAAAACCCATCTTCAGGCCCATGTCCTTCATCCCGCATAATCACATCTTCCTGCTCAGTCCTGCCCTCCAGGATATTAAAAACCCAGTTCAACCGCCCTTCCTCGCGCTTAGCTTGCATGTACGGCCGCACATGCGTGCGGTATATCTCTGCCGTCTCTGTTACCATGCGCAACTGCTGGTCTGAGTACTTCTTAATGTGTGATGCTGTGCATGGCCAGATGAGGTTGAGTTTGAGGTCTTGCTGTGGGTTGGCGGCTTCGGCAGGTGTTGGATCTGTCGTGTGTCCGTTTGATGAGGCTAGGTACCAGCGGTAGATGTCGTTGTCGCCTAGATTGTTGACTTGAGAGATTGCGGCGTGGAAGGCTTGGAGGACGGCGAGGGATTCAGTTGCGAATGCTGCTCGCTCGGCTATTAGGATGCCTTGAGTATTGTCGATTGTGCCTAGGAGGGCAATTCGTCGGCCGTTTTGGTCTGGAGGGGTTTTTTAGTTTGCTGCGTGGGGTGGGGGTGGATGGGTTGTACCTTGTTTGAGGAGCTTGCTCACTTGGAATTTGGTGATTAGGGCCTCCGGGGCGATCTTCTCGGTATCTGCGGAGTCGGCCATCTTTGGAAGCTATCAATGTTGGGATTTTGGGATGTAGGGATGTTCAAGTTCAAGATGTTACGATTTATCCAGCTTTATCGGCTGGGGCGGTCAGGCTTATCTGTAGATCTATGAGATGGATGAGATGGATGAGATGGCTGTTGCAATGTGGGAATTGATTTGTTAGAAATGATCTATGTAATCTATATAATACTGTAGGCTTGTTTGATATTTTGATACACTCAACTCTAGTATATCATTAACGCATTGAACCAAACCAATTGCTCTCCAGCTGCTCTCAATCCTTCAAGACACAGTTCCTATTTGATGGAGGTTGCAAGGAGATAGATATCAGGTAGTGCTCAAGTGTCAATTAAAAGTGTATATCGCATAATTATGCTATCAGATACATTGACATACACCCTAGAGCCCTTAAAAAGCCACTCCTTCAATTACATTCAAACCTAACAAGCCTTCCTCAAGCAGCAGCAGACTCCTTGTTTCCATTTGTCGCCGATCTTGGAGTTGTATGCATCTAATAGACAGTCAGAAAAAGATCAATGGAGAGAAACCCCTCGATAGACCTGTGGATTGAAATAAAACATACCGCATCCGCAAACTGCAGCCACTCCTCTACTCCCTTGACAAAAGCGTCATCTGCCGCAGGAAGAGCCTCATGTCCCCATACTACAAACTCATCAAAGGTTCCCTGAGCCTCCATAATCTTCACTGGTTCCTCGGGCTCGGCCTCTTCATCCTCAGCACCGTCTGCCCGTTGAGCTGCAGGTAACACGCGGTCTGTGTGTGTTGCAACTACACCTATATATTTCAGTCGTATATAGTCAGCCAATTATGATTCAATTACTGCTTGCAGGTTTCTGCATAACTCAATTGGACGTTCTCTCGTACCTCGATAGCCATCAGGAAGGGCGACGCGCCGACCTCGAAGTTTGCGCCCGCGGAAATGCGCTGTTTGTGTATTGTCTGGATATAAGAGATGTTAGTTTTTCTTTGGGCAGTTTTTCTTTGGGCATTCAACTGGGTTTTCTCCAGAGCTGTCTATCTTGCATGCCTTTTTCCTCTTTCACTGTCCAATACCGATCTGAATCAATTGGTCCATCATGGTGAATCCGGCATGGAATGATATTTGGTGTGCATTGTAGAGTCGAGTTATTCTTTTCGGACTGTGAACTCGCTTCTGAGGAGGGCTGGATGGTGTACATGTCGGGCATTGTGTCGATTGCTCTTCGCAGACGGATATTCTGTTCTGAGGACTGGTGGGGCAGTAACGGCCTAATGCAAGATCTTTGCTGAGATCAATTGATTGCCGGTTCGATCTTATGTTGTTTAAGTCTGGAATTGGAGAGGTAATCTCTGAGTTCTGCTGTTTGGATGGTTGCGTTGATGCTTGTAAAAGATCGGATGTGAGGCGCGACGCGTTTCTCTCCGTTCTCCGCGTTAAGTGGAAATTGGAGAGATCAACGACATAAAATATTTACATATTCACTTAGCTATCTCTACAAGTATACTGAAGGTATCTAATGCATTTGAAGTTCTAAAAGGGAGGAAAAAATAGGAAATACATCTAAATCTCTCATAAAATGCAAATTCAATTGGCAATGATCGGGGTATACATGTACAGAGTATCTAAGCATGTCTCTTCGAAAGCTATATCGGATATTCAACATCAGCGCTTGCGTGTAGTCTTCTTCTTCTTCTTTTTTTTCTGGCCCTCGCCCTTCTCCCTGTTGTCGGCAATCATCCGAGCGGGCCATTTCTTTAAATGCTCCCGCTCGAACGCATCCTTCTCCCGACGATACAAAGCCATCGTAGCCCGCGCATCTTCCACACTAGAATGCGCTCCGTCCTGGATCTTGATTCCCAAAAATTCCTCAGCCAACATCTTCAAACGTGGGGATCCACCGCCTGCGATCCTCCGATATGGCGCGTGTTTGCTGGTGTCTCGGATGTCGCGCTTGGGGTGGCTGAGGAGGAGAGCGTCCAAATCATTGCTGACGGCATGACCGACGAGAATGCGATCCTTCATGATTTCTGCAATTTCTTTTTGGGCGTGCTCAAGGGTCCGTGCCTCCACCATGTGCTTAGGGGCAATCCCACTCACATGCGTACGCCAGTCTGTGACCATCTCCTTCGGGCGCACGTACGAATCATATATTTGGTCGCCGTTGAAGTTCACGACACTGACGCGGGCAAGTGCAGAGTCGCTGTCTGGGTTTGGACCGACGCCCACCATTTCACAATCCATTGCGACATATTTTCCTAGTTCGGCACTGGAGGGGGATAGTTAGTAGCTGATATAGTAAAAAGGACCAGATAGTATGGCTGTAGGATCTGCTAGCACTTACGTTGATGAGCGGCCTTCATTTTCCTTGTGACGCGAGCTTATCTCGATCTTTGTAACATCGGAATCGCCAGTATCTGACTTGACAGACATTCTCTTGCGCTTGAAGGTTGGTTTGGCGTCTGGGTTATATGGCTTTTGCTTCTCGGTCAACTTTCGTTTCTTCGCGATCCCATCTCCGGAGCTGAGCTCGGAGGTCTTGCGCTTGACAGTGGGATCTTTCTTTAACGTCGCCTGTAGCTTCTTCCAATTACTGGATAGCGCTGTCTTGTCCATCCTGTGTCTGTTGGTGAGGAAGAAGGGAAAGATAAAAAAAGACGATAAGCAAGTAAATTTTCCGGACCCACTTTTATTTTGGGGTTGATAGTTGACCAGGTAGCGACAGGATTTTGATATCTTCAACTCGATATTATTAGATCTACAATTTATTATGTTTAGTCTGTTTAGTTGTAGTCGATTACTTTGTGCTTGAAAAAATATTGAGACCTGATCCTAACTAAGGACCACATTATATGTCCAGATAACAAAATGCACGCGCTTTTAGAGGGAATATGCAGAATCACTCGTATCCAGTCTTGAAATCCTTCGCAGACCACTTCTCCGTAATCTGTCTTCTGGCCTTGCGTGCCTGGGTAATCGGTGTGCGTGACTCGAGCTTACCCTGAACGATCAATGTTCGGAATCGGTCATCCAAGAGATTGCCTTCCGGCTTCAGGAGACGTAGAGAATCCTGCAGTTCATCAGGAAGAACCAGCTCCAATGGCTGCTGGGGTACACTAGAATAACTTGTTAGTCGCAACATAAAGCATAGGGGAAGGAACAAAAACGTACGGTCTCTTGCCACCGAAGGTCTTCTTGCGCAGGGCAATCTCAACATCATCATCATCCTCAGTCTCATCCGCATCCGACTGGTTCTGGCGCTCGAGCTCCCGTTGCTTGACTTGCTCGGCAATCTTGAGAATATGCTCGGCCTGTGCATCTCTCTTTACTCTCTCAGCCTCCCACTTCGCTTTCCCCTCTGCTGCCTTGCGTCGGATGGCCTTGTTGCGCTGCGTCTTAGATTTACGCTCGGGGCGCTTCTTGTTCAGCCACTCGGACTTCTCGTACTCGCTTTCGAAACCCTCCCAGGCACTCTCGTCATCCGACTTCACCTCGCCGTTGTCATTCTTGGCCTCCTCAATCAAGCGCTGCTTCTCGGCTTCCTTGGCCTCTTCCTCCAAACGCAGCTTCTCGGCCTCAACCGCCTTGGCACCGTGTGTCTCCAATAATTTGTCCCATTCTTCGAACACAGGATTGTAACTGGTTCCGGCGTGGGGCATCTTAACAGAGGGAACTGGCTTGCCATTGGCAGCAAGCGAAACTGGGGCGTGTTTTAATGTGACAGGCTCAACCTTGGGCTTGGGCTTCTGCAGGAAATCAAAGCGAGGGTCGTCGTACGTGAGCGTGGGTTCGGTATCTTCCGCCCACGGATCGTAGAACTCATTGTCGGCCTTCTTGCCCAGAGGGTTTCCCTCCTTCGCTACTTGCTTCAGGCGGAGATATTCCTTTTTGCTAACCCAGTCGCTCTTGGGCTTCTTCGTCTTCGGCTCAATGACTCCGTCGGTGACGTTCGGGTTTACACGCTTCCGGCCGTCGAGGGCGGGGATCATTGACCGCTTGGCAAGGATCTCGTCTGACTTGAGGGGCTTCTTTTGCTTTTTCGCGATAGACTTGCGTACTTCATCATTGCCGACAGTATCGACAACGAAAAGCTGATCGGAAGGCTTTTCGGAGATAAGACCACTAATAGAGCGAGAATTGTTAGAATCTCAATTCAAAGTAGAGAGCAAAAAAGGTGAGAGCGAGCAACGATAGCCTACCCTGTGATCTCGGCGTCCTTCAGATCGCGCAAACCCTCCTGCACTGCGGTGATATCGACATTCTTGCGCCACGCCTTCTTGCCCTTACGGGAAGTTTGCTTGAATTGACTTGGGGCATCCACGGAGGTCGGCATTGTGGAAAATAACAGATACAGACAGTCAACGACGATAGTATGAAAATATTGGCTTATCTTTTTTTCTGGTCCAAAAAATTTCTGGATCTGCTTATCTCAGCACGCGCGGGGGCGGCGATCGCGGTTATTACGTTTACCGCGCTTGGTTGCGAACTCGCTTTTCTTCCGCTTCAAGCTGTCATCACTTACGGCGCGTGAACTCCCCATACGCCTGTGGGTTGTAATTTCCATCTTTCTGGTGGTACCTTTGATCTTTTACAATCGCTTTTGGAAGGGTTGAACCTGCGCCTAGCGCGATCTCACGCCATGCCTGTCGTCAAAGGAGGTGTCTGGTAAGTGGCATTGAAACCCGCCCACGAGTCTTTGTTGCTAACATACTCCTAGGACCAACATTGAGGATGAAGTGCTTCGGGCAGCTGTATGTTATTTTGGACTCACTAGGAACCCACTAGCCAACGTTGTATGGAGCAGAAACTGACCGATCGCAGGTATCCAAATATGGTCTCAACCAGTGGGCTCGAGTCTCCTCCCTGCTCGCACGGAAGACTCCAAAGCAATGCAAGGCGCGCTGGATTGAATGGTTGGACCCAGGTATTCGAAAGACCGAGTGGTCGCGGGAAGAGGACGAGAAGCTGCTCCACCTTGCGAAGCTGATGCCCACGCAATGGCGCACAATTGCCCCCATTGTCGGGCGCACTGCCACACAATGTCTCGAACGCTACCAGAAGCTTTTGGATGAAGCTGAATCTCGTGAAAATGACGAGCTCGGTCTGGGAGGTCCCGGCGAGGAGAGCGCCGCCCCCAGTGCGGACGATGTCCGCCGCCTACGGTACGTGAATTTTACTAAACATCGTGATGTTCATGTTGCTGACATTTTTTAGACCCGGTGAACTCGATCCCGACCCAGAGTCCAAGCCTGCCCGTCCCGACACTATCGATCTGGATGAAGATGAGAAAGAAATGCTAAGCGAAGCGCGTGCTCGTCTCGCCAACACACAGGGTAAAAAGGCCAAGCGAAAGGCCCGAGAGCGTCTGCTAGAAGAGTCGCGTCGACTGGCCGTTCTTCAGAAGCGTCGCGAACTTAAGAATGCCGGTATCAACGTCAAGGTTGTCACGCGGAAGCCCGGTCAGATGGATTACAATGCGGACATTCCATTCGAAAAACCAGCTGCGCCTGGTTTCTATGATACACTTGAAGAGAAAGACCTGAATGAACGTCAGCGGGAAGCATTCGACCCTCGGAAGCAACAACTCGCAAATAAGAGAAAGGGCGACCAAGACGATGATGCAGAGCGCAAGAAGCGCAAGAACGATAAGGGCGGCACTTCGGCCGCTTCTGCTGCAGCTGCACGAGCAGGTCAGATGCAGAAGATTCGCGAGGCTGAACAGAGCAAGAAGCGACGGGGTTTGAACTTGCCAGCACCGCAGGTCAGTGAAAGTGAAATGGAAGATATTATCAAAATGGGAATGGCCGGGGAGAAAGCCAGTCGAATGAGCGGCGATGAAGCAGGCACTCGGGAACTTCTTGGTGATTACTCCGCTATTGTTGGAGGAACCCCTATCAGAACCCCGCGAGCTGCCCCGGAGGACGATCACATCGCCAACGAAATCAAGAACATTCGAGCTTTGACCGAAACTCAGTCTTCCCTCCTGGGAGGAGAAAACACACCTCTCCACGAGGGGGTCTCATCAACTGGATTTGATGGTATTGCTCCTCGGCGGCAGGCAATTGTCACCCCCAACCCCATGGCCACGCCATTCCGCCAGGCGAATGGCATGGGTGCGACACCTATGCCTGGTGGTCTTGGGGCAGGTGCTACACCCTTGCGCACCCCGCGAGACCATTTAGCTCTGAACCGAGAGGGTGAGGGTGGCCAGCTCATTGGTAGCACACCCCGGGACATCAAAATGCACGAGAATTTCATTCGCCAACAGATGCGCAGCAAGCTGGCCTCGCTTCCCAAGCCCAAGCAATCCGAGTGGGACTTTGGTGATGTTCCATCTGAGTCCGATGAGCCAACCGTAGCTGTGGAGATCAGCGAAGAGGATGCGGCCGAGCGTGATCGCCGCAACAAAGAGGCACAGGAGAAGGCAGCTAAGGCTGAATTCAAGCGTCAATCACAAGTCTACCAGCGAGGCCTGCCTCGTCCCGCTGTTTTGGATCTAAATGCTTTGTTGCAACGTGCCTCCGAGGCTACTGGCGCCATCGAAGGCTTGATTGCCAACGAAGCCGCCATCCTGATTGCACACGACTCTCGTAAATTCCCTGTTCCCGACGCTAAGGTCGAGGGCCAAGCACCAAAGTTAAGTCAATTGGATGACCGGTTCTTGGACGCAGCTCGAGCTTCTATTGCTGCTGAGATTGCTTCCGTCGAAGCAGAGAAGTCGGAATGGCAAGAGAAATTCGACGATAGTTGGTCGTCAGTTCACGCCAAGTCTCTGCCTGGTCTTGAGAATTACGAGGGCGACGACCAGGATCCCTTCCAAGAAGAACAACGCATTATTGCGGCCTTCGACACTGTTCAAACATCCCTCTTTGCTACCGCTGAACGCGGAAACAAGCTCGAGAAGAAGCTGTCTTTGCACTACGGCGGATACCAGAACCGTGCCAAGACACTGCGGTCGAAGATCGTGGAGGCTAACGCTGCTCTGTCCACCGCTACAGACGAGCTGGATGCTTTCCGTACACTCCAAATCTCCGAGGAGTCAGCTGTGCCCCGGAGACTTGAGAGACTGCGCGATGCAGTGTCATTGGTTCTGCGGCGTGAGCGAGAGGCTCAGGATCTGTACAAGAAAAGGAAAGATGAGCTTGATGAACTTCTCGCCGGGACGGGTACAGTCAATGGATGGCACTAGGTAGTTTTCTTTTTTTGTTCTGCGTCATGACCACAATATCTTGCTCTTCTGTACAATTACTACCTCAGTCTAATTTGATGAACCGTACGCGGTTATTCGATGGAAGATACCCCTAACATATCCAAAGTATGGAGTGCCATGAACATTTCGATAAAGATTTGATTATCGATTTAGCTGCTTGCTCAATTGATATGACAGCCCTCCCTAAAGTTCCGGTTCCGACTTGGAAAACGGTGAAATGGAGAGTAAGGGATGATGGAAAGAAAGAAACTTTCAAGGTACCCGACTTGGTTTGTTTACGATTGTCCGATGGTATCCTAAGGAAGGTACGTCTAGAGGAAGGAGCCCAAATCTGAAGATTACGGAAGGAACTCTTGGGAAGGTGAAACTAAAACATTGTAAACATACAAGTCGATTGGTGAGATCC